ATGTATGTGTCACCCTCGTAATTGAGAGTGGATGATGACCACTGGCAAGACCATAATTTGGTAACTTTTATACCTTTGCAGCACAACAGGGGCTTGTCGTTCCTATTCTGCTGCTTTGACTTCAGATTCAGACTAACATCACTGACCTTACATGTCCTGGCATTCTCTGGTACATCAAATATTGCTGTAGTTGTTCAAAAGAAGCAAATGAAACGCTAACCCAGGTGTCTTCATTTTTCTTCTTGATCTATACAGCTGTGACAGATAGAACTTTTTTTTTTTTCCCTCAAAAGAATGCTAGTATACTAGTACCTTGTTCTTAGTCACCACACTCCTGCCTGAAGTGAATAAAATGTCTTTTCAAATAATTTATACTGAAGCAAGCAATCAATAGAGAACATAGCAGCAATGACTAAACTCATTGTGTTTTTTTTTAAGCTGCTGCAAAATTACAAAGTATTAAGATGCTCCAGACACTTAGTTGAAATCGTAGTTAGATTATCTCTTACCACATTAGAATGATTTTTGTGTGTGTCTGTGACAGAATAATGACTGTGGGTAGAGAGAATTGCCATTGAAATTAAATTCTTAGCTAGGAAAACCTCATACATGCTAGGGTGATGTCTGACTGAAAAGTGGTTTTCCATCAGACCTCCAAAGTGGACAGAAGGGGAAGATCAACAAATAATTGTCTACTATATTAATCACAGCATGTCCTAACACATGAGCAGCTTGAGATGCTAGTGAGCATTTCCAAAGAAGGTTTTATGGCAACTTATACTGTGCCTGGGATATGGCACCGAGATTTAAGATTTTAAAATTAAATACGTGCACATGAAGGGAAGATACTGTTGTAAAGATTACTTTTTTTTAGAGGCACTGAGGCTTCTGTAGCATCTCCAGTGTAGGAATGCTCCTGTTTTGCGTGCCTGTTGAGTCACAAGAGAGAACAATTACATAAATTAAGGCTAAGCTCTTTCCTAAGACTATACGATTTCTAACACTCTATGCCTTCCACTTCTAAGGTTTACAATATCCTTGCAAGCTATCACATGAAGATACATACCCATGCCAGCTCCACAGATATGAAAACAATGTCCCATGAGCTATCACAAGAAGGCTGCAAAACAATCACAATTTTCATACCAGTGTCTTTATGGCAACAACAGGTGCTTCAGAGCTGGCCTTTGGATCCAAGATTAAAACTGTTAATTAAAATTGTTTTTTATCCGTGTACTGTATGTGTATGGCAACAAAATGAAATTAAGCTTTGATGGAAAAAAAAACAGTGAAGACAAAGGGTAAAAGTATGTATCACAGGTAACACACCTCAAAAGACAAGAGATGCATTTAAAAAAGTCTGTGAAATAGAGCTTTGCCAGAGAGAGAGAGAGAACACCAGTTTATAAGGTGGTCTTTGAACTGTGGGAGAGGCGTCTCTGAAGCTGTTCGTGCTGTCTTCTGTGTTTCATAAGTTAGCTTAGTGAGCAAACTGAAGTATTTAAGTAATGACCACCCTTATCTGCAAATCTCAAAAGCTCAACCTGTTCCTGCCATATGACCTCACTGAGAATTTAAAATAAATCCAGCTGTTTTCCCCTGAGGCTTTCTCTGAAACCACATTTGTGTCAGCAGAAAGACTTAGTCTCACTTAGCAAAAATGTAAATATTCTCTGAGGGAGTGCTTTACTTTTCACCAAGTTTCCATAGTTAGCATAACTGTGTCATGTTACAATACCTCATCACCATCCCACAGAACGTACTAGTCCAATTTGTAAAATGAACCATAATAAAACTCCAATTTTAAACAAATCAATGGATTAAAACCTCTTATTTCATATTAATAATAACTTCATGTGTCTCCAAGGATGTCTGGGTTTAGGAAATCTTCACAGGTTTAGTGACTTTCCAGTGGGTCTCCTCCACCATGTAGATGGCTCAGGACTGGAGTCATCCTCTGTTAGTATAAGATGAAGTTTACAGATGTACTTCAGAAAGCATTTTTAGTATTAGAGTGGCACTATTTGATTATCTGAACTTCTTTCAGGGCTTAGTTGAGACACCCATGACAGAAATATTTTTCGTACCAAAACAATTATTTAAAAATATGACCTGATACTTCCTCCTCAATAGTCTGCAGAAACAATGCAAAAATCTTTAGTGTTATAAGTGAACAACCACATATCCTACAGACACAGTTTTCACAGATGACACTAGTTTGCAGTGGTCATGAAAAGTAAGAACAAAAATGTTGAAGTTCACAAAGTTTCTGTTGGAGCAACAATGATCTAGTTGTCACTGATGTCCGTTTCTTTCTGATTTGGAAGCAAATACCTCAAACAGCAAAGAAAATACACTAAAAAAAAATAAAAATAATAAAATAAAATAAAAACAATAAAAAATAAATTGATTATTTTTTTTTTAAATGAAACCATTGCACTTATATTTCAGAGAATATGGCCAAAGCAGATTCCCCTTTTGAGTTTCCTCTCTTCTTAGGAAGGCACTCCCTTGCTTGGGAGGCACATGGAGGGCTGAGGCTCTTCTGTTTCACTCCCTGCAGTGTTTTTCTGTCTACACTTTATTCTTGTAAGTGGAAGCTGTACACCTAGATGTGTGACAATAACAGCCCCTAGTGGAGCACAATTACGTCCACAGCAGCTTTTTCACAAAACCTCTTCAGCAAACACTGAAGAATTTGCTTTACTTGGATGTGTATTTTTCTACAAATCCTGCTGGTGAATGAATACAACCACAAAGTTTCTTCATTTTTCATCTACTCTTACTAGATAATAGCTTCAATGTCCTGCTTCATCAAGTTTTGTTGTTGTTGTGTTGTGTTTTTTTTTTCTAATTTTCCTCCCTTTATCATTTCTAGCCTTACCAATTATTTTCCAGTTACTTTTTCCTGAAGTTAAAGTGAATATAGAGTTTTATAGCTTTTCTCATTACTCTGATTCATAAATAACAACATTATTTAGCATTTGTTCTTACTTGTGGTTGCACAGCATTCCACTTACTACCAGATATATTTAATATCTTTGTTTTCCTGTACAGTCTTGGGGTATCCTGCTTGAAAGCAGGATCTTTGTGTTTCTCTCCCTCATGAAGCTGTTTGCCAGTGAAGTGATTTCCTGCCAATACGCAGGAACTTCATGCAAAGGCTACTATTATAATTGTTATGGTGAAATTCAGCTATTCTGGGTGAGATGTTATGACAAGAGGCAGTGACTAAAACAATCTAGCGCATGATAAGATCAACTCTGATATTATCCATTTCAAAGTAGCTATTACAAAGTAAACACTGAAATAATACTATAGGTGTGAGCCGTGTTGCAAAATGAAGGCCAATTTAACAATCCATGACAAATTTTAAAATAGAGATTATGATTACTTGCGAGATAAACATAATCTCATTGAAATGTATTTCTTCACACAGAGGCATTAATTTTAGAGGTAGATTATATAGCTGCTGCAACTGCAGTAGGTGAGACTAAAAATCCAGAGACTCCACAGCTCTTGTTCATCACCTAAACTCTTCCAATTTCCTCAGTGAATCACAACTCTAAAATAATTTAAGTTTCTCTAGGAGTAAGGATATTCAATGTTTAAAATCACTGTTCTTTTCGTTTGGACAATGAGTTACAGTGGTGGTTTTCCAGAGCAAAATATTTCATCATTAGGGAAATGACACTACAGCCTAGTATAAACCAGACTACCATCTTAATCAGTTCTCCAGTCACAATGGATCATTTTTAAGCTTTTATATTGCATGAAATGATCCTTGCTAAGTTTAAAAGAAAATGTATCTGGTACTAAGTTTGGCCAACCCTTTTCATGTCTCTCCTCCCTATTCTTGAAAGGAGAATGCCATAAATACACAGGCTAACATATAGAGATACAATAATATATCTTAGAAAAGGATAAACTGGTTCATTTTCATAATTGGATGAATTGTGCAGTATGCATTCTGTGGGGAAGGACACACAAGTCCTTGTTTTAGCTCTATCTTTTAAGTTAATTGCAAATAAGCCTCAAGTAAAAAGAAAAGTAAAACGTGTATGCTGAAATGTAGTTACCATGCCATCATGGTGCCTCCATTAGCATTACAACAACATGGGTATTTCTATAAATCAGAAGGGAAACTGCAGAAAAGAACCAAGTATGATCAGTGTAAAATCAGGAGCAAAGGACTACCAGCTGAATAACAAGTTAATGAAAGCCAGCATGCCTACGAGATGACAAGTCCAGGAAATGCAGTAGTCACTCCTTAGAGGTGCTGCTGAAGGCCTACGAAAAGCCATTCCTCAGCGACCTCCAGAGGGTGCAAGTATAAAGAGACTGCATTGTTCTGAGTAGACTGAGATTTTTGTGCTGCGATGACTGCATCAGTTGATTTAGTTTGAAGAAAAGAAAAAGAAAAAGAAAAAAAAAAAAAAAAAGAAAAAAAAAGAGAAAAAAAAAAGGAGAAAAAAAAAGAAAAAAAAAACATTTTTAATGAAAGATGCTTGGATATCAACACCTAGATTCATTCACCCCCTTGTGCTTATAATTGTATTCCAAACTTTTAATACATCTGTAATATATGACATGGGTAAATACTTTTCTTTTTTTTTTTTTTTTTTAATTTGTTAGACTATTCATCAACTACAAAGCCCTTTCAGAGTTGTGCATTAAATAGCGGGATCACTGTAACTTGTCCTGGTTTCAGTTAGCACAGAATTAATTTTCTTCCTAGTAGCTGGTGGAATGCTGTGTTTTGGCTTAGGATGAGAAGAGTGCTGATAACACCCCGATGCTTTAATTGTTGCAGAGCAGTGCTTATACTAAGCCAAGGACATCTCAGCCTTTTGCTCTGTCCTGCCAACGGGCAGGCTGGGGGTGCAGTAAGAGCTGGGAGGGGACAGACCCAGGACAGGTGACCCAAACTAGCCAAAGGGGTATTCCATACCATCTGACGTCATGCTAAACAATATATAGGGGTGGCTAGCCGGGGGGAGGGGGCCGGACTGCTCGGGGTTAGGCTGGGCATCGGTCAGCGAGTGGTGAGCAATTGCATTGTGCATCACTTGTTTGTACATACTATTATTACTTTCCTATTATCACCATTGTATTATTATTGTTATTATTTTATTATTATTTTGTTATTATTATTTTCCTGTCTTATTAAACTGTCTTTATCTCAACTCACGGGCTTCACTTTCCATTTCTCTCCCCCGTCCCAGAGAGGGAGGGGGGAGGGTGAGCGAACGGCTGCGTGGTGTTTAGCTGCCGGCCGGGTTAAACCACGACATAACTCAAATGTTAAAAGCTCAGTATTGCAAATATAAGTCACTGAAACAGGAAAGGTGTCAGATTTATATGATGTTGTCCTAATCTCTGACTGCCAGCTGACTCGGAGGCTGATGTCTCAAACAGACATTTTAGCATATTCTATTGGCTGCCAGAATTTAGCATATGTGGTAGTAGTGAAGTAGGACTACCAGAAGTGGACATTACCTACGCAACTGCTGAAATAAGCCTAACAAAGGGCAAAAAATGGCAAAAGATTTCAGAATAACAAAGCACTATTCTTCTAAGATAAAAGACTTTGCAATAGAAGCAGACATATAAAATTATAAATGACAGGGGGAAAAAAGAAAAGAAAAAAAAATCTCCATTGAGATTGTTAAGAAAAAAAAAATGCCTTCTAGAATGCCACTTCACCATGCACATTTATATGGATTTTGTTTCTACCTGGAGAATACCTTCATTGATCGAGGTTGTCTTGCTGAGATTAGTAGGGTTAGCTTCTTCTGCCAGTATCTCCTAGATGAGAGGCACAAAAAAATTGAGTTATGTTTTTGTTTTTAAGCAAAAATCTCAGGAGTGAGATAGCTTTCCAGAGATGGCAATTACAAAAGCAGATCACTGGAAAGTCTTCAGACCGTTAGCGGGGTAAGACTGCCTCAGCATGCTGACCTGAAGAGTTGTGACAGACAATTTTCCCTGTTTTATGTTTTTTCAATTTAAGAGTGTTAGTCATTACCAGGTAAACATACATGCATCACACCAGCAACAGATAACTTGAGCTATGTGATTAAATTGTGGAATACCACCTGGCTTTGTTTATTCTAAAGCACTTAATCAATGGTCAGCTGGACAAGTGTCTTAAGAATCTCATTTATCCTCTGGACAGCTTTTTCCACACAACTGCCTTTACACCCAGGTGCCTAGAGGTGAACCAACAACTGTAAATATTAATCAAAGAAGTGGTATTCAGAAACCACTGCAATGAAGAGAAAGGGTTTTATTTTCGTGTATTCTGTCCTTATAGCCTGTGTCTGCAAGCTTGGTTTGTAAAGACTTTACACGTGAAAGAAAAATGTAAATGCTTAATGACTGTTGGGTATATGCTAAACATCAACAAAAAGTGCCCTTTTTTTAATAAAGGGATGGTGAGTTAAATAATATAGTGTAACATAAAGTACAATACAACTGTGGTTAAATTAACAAATGCACACAGAGATTCTCGTTTGGGAAAGAAAGATTGGAAAGTTTGTGTGGCCTTACCAGTTTGACCGTTTAAGTGGCTAACAACATATGGAGAAATCAATGTCCTTGTTCTGGCGGAGATTTTATCTAATATCTTTCCTTCCCAAGGAATGTATTTAATTAATAAGTAACTTATCATGGTGGTGATGTGCATCAAGATCTGAATTTAATATTAATGTGGTTTAGGTTAAATAAAATTCAGCACATTAGGCACCTCAGTACTGAGGTGATCAAAAAATACAGCAAGTGAAGGAGTATTACTTGGCAAACACATGCAGTGAAAATTGCAGTGAAATGCAAAGATAGCTCTTGCCATCAACAGCCTCTGTGGAGCACAGAGAAAGGTTTCTTCTTTCCAGTTTCTCCAGCTACCACAGAACAGTGAGCAGCTCCTACAAAACCTAAGGATTTCAAAGAGCAGAATTATTTTTTCCTGTTGCAAATAATGACTTAAGACTAGATATGAATGTTACTAGTTCTCATACTTTGAAGAACTTAGTAACTGTACAAGATCACTTCAATTCACAATAAGTCCCTATTTTAACATGTAAAATTCAAATGGTAAAAGTTATTTTGCATAAGAAAAACTGAAAAAAAAAAAAGCAAAAAGCTCTTGTACAATTTATTGAAATTCAGTTTTAACCAAAATAGACACTGAGATAATAAGAAAATCCGAGTCACACTTTTTAAAAAGTATTGCTTACAATTTACAAACAAAATAAAACAGATCCAAATGTAAAGAATCTAAACAATCAGATTCACTTGAATGTATTTACTTAAATAATGTCCCTATAAATATTTTCTACTGGCTGGGAAAAAAGAATACCAAACATAGTAAGCTAACTGCGTTTAGTTGAAAACGAACTGAAAACAATTAATTAATTAAAGAATCCTGGCCAATAAAGATCAACATTTCTTAAGGAAAAGAAAAAAAAAAAAAAAGCAAGATTGGAAGAAAATATATTAATTCTTAGTAGAAGAAGAAGCAAGATGAAGGTAATGTTGTCTGCCTTACCCATGTTTTGAAGACAGCTTCAAATACTCCCTCATTTACCTCCCCAACCCTGTTAGTCTTGCCCCCATTGAAATCTGTTTTTTGTTTTTTTTAAGCATGGTGTTTCTCATTTCTGTCATTTTTTATGTAGTCATCTCGTTGCTGTGTCCACTGATGAAGGATGGCCAGCTGCATATGTATTATTACCCTTTTTGTATCTGTAATGACCTGTAATTTCTCAGACTCTCAGCTTTTCCACAGAGCCACAGGAAAGGGATGGCCACCCGCATAGCTCAACATGATTTAGTTTATTTTAAATTTGTTTTCCTGTTATCTGACTTAACTCTCAATCAAAACTTATTAGCAATCTCTTCAGTGCTTTACTCTAACCCGCATGTCTACTTTATGATTTGTACCATATGCTGTTTAATTCCATTTTTACAGAATCACACCAGAAGACCTATAAATACCTTGTTTTCTGATGCATTCCCTACAGCATTTGAAAAAAAATGGTATCACAGTTTGCTGTTAAGATATCTGCTTCAAATTCTTCCCATTAATTCTGTGAATTTACAAAGCAGCTAGAGGCCTTGAACCAACTGGCATTTAAAATTCAGTAGGAACACTGATTTCACTGACTTTTTGAAACTAGACCTGTGAAAGCAACAGTGACACCGTACTCATGTATTAAAGCTGTGAGTGGCTTTGCATTCAGACACTCACCTGTGATGAGCTCAGGTTCCTTTAAGTGGAACTGAATACACATTGGCACCATTTTCTTCCTCAGTGAAGGAGTCATACACAGCTCAGAAGCCCTTAACTCACATGAATCAAGTGATTCAAGCTCACTGATCTCACTGATGCAAACAGCTTTTGCACAGTCACAAGGCAGTGGGACTACACTCAGGGGCTGCTCAGGCAGTCATGGGTCAGGCGGTGCAGCACTCTGACTCACCCTCCAGCTAAGAAAAAAAGGCACTTCCACTGAAGGCAGAGGGGTTTGGAGTGAAAAGAAAAACAGCAGGATGTCAGGGCTGGGGCTCTTAGCAGGCTTCACTGTGAAATAGATGTTTACCTGTGATTCTCACCACTTTCGAGATGCTGTGACACACACCAATGGGTAATGATTCTAAGGTCTCCTCCTTTTCTTCTTCATTCCTCCTCCTGAACAGAGCGGTGTTTTACCTCGCAATTAATTTAATTGCTGCACTCACAAGGAAACACAGCTCAACAAGGACTCAGTTGTATAATTTACAGAGCTGGTCCTAAGTAGGATGTGGGAGGCAATTAGACCACTACAGAGACATTTGAAGGAGCTGCATCTGTTCATTCATATCAGTTGTTTTTCCTGCCTGTTTTTCTTCTGCTAGATGAGCATATATATATATAAACAAGATTTTCCCAGGTGCTGTTCCACCTCTAAAAACTTACACAACTGATCATATTTATATAAGCGTATTTACAAGTATGAGACAGAATGCTTCTACCAACAACACTCACGATCTTGCAATGGATACAGAGCCAACAATGGATAGGAGTAAGTTGGTTTAAAAGTTTCCTAGGTCAAGAGCAGACAGTAGTCATTTATTAGTCCTCACAACTCTGCATAATTATTTGATTTGATAGTCCTTGGGGGAAAATAAATAAATAAATAAATAAACAAAACAAACTCACCATTTGCTTGTCCTGTTCTTCTTTTACAGCACTCATCAAAAAGAATTTGACATAAGTGGATGTTGATGCTTCTCTGTGGCAAAAAGAAACAAAACAAACCAAAAGTCTGGACCTGTAGTTTGAAAAGGAGAGCTTTAGTTTGAATGGGTGAATGAACAGATGGGTAAAAATTCCTTGGATGATTGGACTCGGAAGATGGTGCTGAATGGGTCATATTCAGCCTGGAGGCAGGTAACAAGTTGGGTACCCCAAGGATCTGTGCTGCAAGCCATCCTGTTTCAGACCTCTATCAGTGACCTGAACAAGGCAAGGGGGTGCAATTATACCACACATGAAGATGACAACGAGTTATGGCGACCAGTCAATACCCACAAGGGCTGGGCTGCTGTCCAGAGGGCTCTGAGCAAGCAGGTGGAGTGGTCTGACATCAACCCCAGGAGATGAAGCCAGGACAAAAGCCCACGGAGCAGCTCCTAAGACCCAGCAGGTGGTGAGCTGAGCAGGGGCCAGCAACATACGGGGTAGAAACAGCAGGCATAGGCTCAAACAACAGAGGTTCAGACTGCAGGGAAGGAAAAGTTTTTGCCTGCAAAGACAGCTAGGCAATGGAGCTAGAACACAGAGAGGTTATCCCACCTCCACCCCTGGAGATTTCCAAACCTCCACTGGGTAAATCCCTGAGCAAGCTCACCTGATCTCACATCTGAGCCTGCTAGAGCAGGGTGCTGGTCTGGAGACCTCCTGGAAGGCTAAGGCTCACTCATCCATAGCCTCTACATCCCACCACATTTACACAAAATGTGTATTTCGGCAAATGAAACAGCAATATATTCTGTTCAGTTTCTTTATATCTCTGTCTTTTCAGTATCTGAGCATCACAGGTGAGGTACAAGCCAATGCAGGACCCAGGGACACACTACACAGCTGCACTGCCAGTACCCATACTTTTCTCTCTTAAAGTGTTTTTTTCACATCCTTCACAGAATTGTCCAGCCCTCCACTGAAGGCTAAGGCAGAAAAGCCTGTCTCTTTCAACACTCATTCTCCATATGGATATAACTACATGTCACAATGCAGCCACGGATGCAAAGCAGCAAGTTGATTAGAAGACATTATACGAAGCTACACTTCTGAATTGATGACTGTGATACACTTAAGTATTTTATTAAGTATACTGTGTAGCTATCTTTTATCTCTGTGTCTTGTGTCTCTGGATGCCTGATTTCATCATGCTGTCTTCAAACTCTATGTTTGTTTTGTTCATTTAAGCTGGCTTATAAAAATTCTTGATGAATAAAATGGAAAATATTTGTACCGTTTACATCTCTATGGAGGTTTTGAGCAACTCACAGTGGAGGAATATAAATTCGGAGAGAACAAATCAGGCCTAACTCCATTATGTGTTACCTGATGAGATAAATCCTCTGAAAGAGAGTGAGTTGATCCCTCTAGTAAAAATAAAAATAAATGAATAAATAAAACAAAGCATGTATTCATACGTATTCAATCTTTTCTGTTTTCAAAGCAATATGTAGCCAAGTATTTATTTTCTCCAAATCACAAGTACTTCTTTATATGTCTGCTTCTTTCTTTCCTTAGTGATATTTTTACATTCAGTTGTGATTTTTATGACTAGCACAGAATGAAATGAGAATAAGACATAAAGGTTCAGGGCCAAACTCTCAATCAAAATGAGTTGGTGCAGCTTATATAATATAACAGTGAATGGTACCAGCTGTGATCCAGCTCAAGATGGACTATTTTCTGAAGAACAATGAACTATAGTCAAGATTATGACTTCATTCACAGTAATCTTGTGCCCAGCCCTCCAGTATCTATTCAAAAATGTCTTTCTGGAGTTCAATAAACACTTTTATGGGTGCTTAGGAGAAGGCACAGCACAGGTGAGAACTAAAACTAAGCATCTCATGATCATTTCTTGCAATACAAAAAAAAAAAAAAAAACAGCCCTGCTGACAAAGATGAGGACAAGAAACACAAGCACCTGATCTGTTTCACCTTAATTCTCCCCATGCTCCGTACCCAGATCAATACTGCTAGCTGCCATCTATCTCTTCCACACAATTCTTGGCACCCCTCACGAGGGCACAAACTAAGATGCAGGATGTTGGCTTATCAGGAAAAATGTGTTTGCTCAGTGAGTGCCCAGGCTGTCACTTTGATTTCACATATTCCCTGAAGTCCTCCTTCATGGACGAAGGCTTTGACTGGGTTAGTGAGCTGGTATTGATCTCTCTCATACCAGTACTAGTATTCCTAGTATGCCACTTACTGGATTCTATCAGCCAAACAGTCTCCAACCACCTGTTTAGAAGTTGCTTGTACAGACACACAGCATAGTCTTCATGGGACATCTTTACCTCCACATGCACGTGCATTCACTTGCATCTTCACCTCCTCACAGCATGTGCTGCTGCCTTGTTTCTTGGAGCAGAGGCAGGCCATATATTATGCAGTGGCATACTGTATGTAATTTGGCAAGTGTGTGCTTGGCTGGTGTAGCTGCCAAGCCTCTCTCCATCTTATTTGGAAAGACCTGGCAGTCAGGTGAAGCTCCAGTGACTGGAAAAAGGGAAATATCACTCTTATTTTTAAAAAGAGTAGGAAGAGAACTACAGACCAGTGAGCCTCACCTCTGTGCCTGGCAAGATCATGGAAAAAATCCTCCTGGAAGCAATATCAAGGTGCATGCAGGACAAGGAGGGGATCTAGGACAGCCAGCATGGCTTTACCAAGGGTAAATTGTGTGTGAGCAGTCTGGTGGCCTTATGCAATGCAGTGACTGGAGGTGTTCAAGGCCAGGCTGGACAAGGCCCTGAGCAGCCTGATCTGGTGGACGACATCCCTGCCTATGGCAGCAGGGTTGGAACTGGATGAACTTTAAAGTCCCTTCCAACCTCAGCCATTTCGTGATTCTTTGATTAGGCAGTACTTGATCCAACCACTGACTGTCATTACTTTTACATTTCCCAGGTACTTCAAGGGCTTTGATGCTGAGGGGCATTTCTCTCCAGTAATGCACTGCTCAATTACCCATTTCTCTGCATGTTAGAATCAAAACATTCCACAAATACTTTTGGCTTAAACTGGAGACTTCTTCAGGAGACTTTGGAGACTTCTTCAGAAGTCTCCAGAGCTACATGTGATGAGAGGGTTCTTGACTTAACAGTGTAAGAGTAATATGCTGTTCTTTCATTTCCTGGTTTGGGGTAAAAAAAATGTATTTCTCTGTCTACCAGCTGGAAGAGCAGCACTTCCGAAATACATTTTTTTGAAGGTCCTGTATTTTGTGTACTATTCCTATTTGGCCCAAGGATTTTTCTGAAAAAAATGCCTTCTGGCATACTAGAATATAAAATATTCTAAAAAATATGAATACTGAGATATCGGTCAAGTACTGCCACTTGCACTTTTCATAGGACCTGCTCTGGGTAGGGGCTACAGAGTACTCTTCCCTTCCACCTCCTTCAGGACCTTACAACTGCAACAGCTAGAAGACTCCAACTGCATTCACTCTACTCTTTACTCCGCAGGCCTCATAGCAGTTTTCCAAAGATAGTAATTTTCTAATGCAGGAGCCATTACGCCTTAAGGAGCCATGTGCTCTTTGCAGTACAGTTTCTGTGAATGGGAGAAACGACATGGGAAATATCTGCAACATACCTGCATTTGGAAAAACTTGATGTGAATGCTAGGCTAAAGACGTGCTCTCAGATGAAAACAAACTAACTAACAAACACAGTATTTCTTGGCGAAAAAGATACCATCTATCCATATATTTTTTTACTTAACTTTTTTGCTCTTTGTGAAGTAGAGACACTAGTATAGCTCTTAAAAAGAGAGTGAAAAGTGTTTTATTTTTCCCAAACAGATCTATACCCACAAAGCACTCAACTTTTACAGAGTTTTTGGAGGAACCATGTTTCCTGGGCACCCTGAGAGTAGTGTAATGGCATCTGCTGCAGCATTACTGGAGTTTCTGCACGTGTGGCTCACCTCCACTTCTCAGGTAACAGGAGAAGGCAAGGACATGCAACGTCACGGCCCTGCTGGTGACAACCATGGTAAGAAATCACCATTCCAGCAAGCAGATAATTGCAGCTGGGACTTGTGAAAATATGGGAGGTGAGGGGGCAACGGGGTGATTCTTGCAGCAAGCCTTCAGCTTTCTGCCAATCCAGGGAATTGTCTGACCCCTGACCACAAGAGACATTAAATGCTCAAGTGGCTGCTGTGAAACTCAATTTCTTCAACAGATGTCAGCCCGAAGGCTGCAGAGCAATTTAGTCAGCCAATTAAAAGCAAAAAGAAAGCCTCTCCCTCAAAGTCGTCAGCTATTTGTAGAAACTCATATTTCACATGCTTGCTGAGCATATGAAATGGAAGCATTTCTGGATATTAAATTCCGACTTCCTACTGTTTCTATTCCCAAGGCAACAGACAGTAGATCAGCAGAAGTGTAAATTTACATAATATCACTTTAAACACAAACATTATTATTTTTGTTTGTTTCCTTAGCTTCTTCTCCCATACAAGCTGCTACCAGCAGACATAAGATGAAAGTTACTTAGTTATATTTATCACATTCAAAGTATTTTCATCGCTGCTTTTTAAGACCACAAGTTTTCCAATCTGCTCCTCCCAAGAACATGAATCAGGAGCTTTTCTTTCACATAGATTAGGGACAGCCTGCTTCTGACCCCTTGGAGCAACAGATACATGGGTTCTTCGGATTGCCAGTGATAAATTCACTGTCTGCAAAGCATGTGCAAACACCAAAAGTATGAGTCATACAGCCTGGCTATAAATGTGTTGAAATGTATAAAGCGACTCTATAGAGATTTCTATGTTTCGTGGGGAGGCACTTGGCATAATCAAGTGTCCGAATCTTACCCAAAGGTGTCCCAATGGGAGGGGAAGAGAGGGTCAGCCCATTGACTGATCCCAGAAGTCAGAAAGTATCTTTCATTACATGATGGTAACATCCCTAACAGAGTCTCTACCTTAAGCTAATTTATATTATTTTCTATCTTTTAGGTGGAGCTTGAGTGACTCTAGACATTCGTATCTTTGGTACGACTGCTGTGAAATGTTCTTACGTTGCTTTTAGAAGTACTGACTAGAAAAAAAAGTGCAAGCTCAATGAGGTGTGGTTGCACTTTGGAAATGGGTTCAAGGAGTCTTTGGGCAGTGCTTTCAGACACACTAATTTTTTAATTTATTATTTTATTTTTGGTGTTCCTCTGGGTACCCAGGAGCTGGACTCCATGGTCCCTGCGGCTCCCCCGCACTCAGCCCCTCCCGCCCCCCCACCAACGCCCGCCCCCAGCGCCGGCGCGGGCACGCGCCCCGCCGCACGTAGGCACGGCCGCCAAGCAGCCAATCAGAGGCGCGAGGCGCGCTTCCCGCGCGGCAGGGGGCGGGGCTCCGCCGCAGCCCGCCCGCGCTGCCGCCCTGAGGCGAGCTCTGAGGGGGTCCCTGAGGGGATCCCTGAGGGGAGGGGGAGGCAAAGCAGCGCTGTGTTCTCCGGCAGCTTTATTATTTTTCTGAGATATCTTACGAGGTTTTAAATAAGTTTAGAGTTCCTCGCGCCCTCACAGACTGTGCCCTGCTTTTTTTCTGGTTAAATCGACGATTTACAGCATACCCATGCATAGCCATACAGCATGGTTATGGTGTGTGGTGGTTGGCACGCCCTTAAACCTGTCATAACTGAAATTAACAGGCTGTTAGGCGCTCTCCTACTATAATTCGCATTAATTCGCGGTCCCTGCAAGTGATAGTCATAATCCTGTGGTTTAGCATTTATTGATGCGTGGTTATATGGGTATAAAGACGTCTTAGTAAATGATACATGTTGGTAATACAAAGCTGCACTTCCACGCCCTGTCCTGCTGTTAGTACTAACAGCGGTAGCCAGCCCTTTGCTTTTCCTGCTCTTCTTTTCTCTGTCCTGACTGACCAAGTAAGCAGCCAGTCCTTAATTGCTTTTTCCACATTGCTCCCAATTCTGTTATATCCATACCCAAATTTGCTATTTCTGACACTGTTACCGAGGCAATTTTAGCCTAATACCACAGCTACTCGAAACTTTGCATCCCAGGTTTCCTTCATGGCCCTACAATTCATGTTTGTTATGTTTCATTTACATCATACACTGTTTGGATAGACTTATCTTACTTTTGGTTAATCTAGAGCTCTGCTGTTCCATCAGCTCAGAGCTAGCCCATATGATTTGCACCTGTAAAACAGAACAAGGGAAAAACAGTCCTCTCATATTTACAGAAATCAATGAAAAGTTAGCAATTTAGATAGGTGAAATACAAAAAGAAGAAAAAAGTCCAGCTTTTTGGGGTTAAAATCAAGTGTCTTTGAAAGTGTGAAGGAAGCTATTCTAGTTGAACCTTAATTCCAACATTTTCTTTCAACACTTTGGTATAAGAGCTTTTTAACCAATCTTCTATATTTGTTTTAGACAACTGAAGCATTGAAAGCATCACAAAACAAGAAAGATGTTCACAGCTTTAAAGTATCACGGAACAGACTATTTATATGAGGTACGGTTTTACTATTTCTCTTAATATTTTGGAAGAAATAGAGCAGTAATTGAAGAAAAGATTAAGTATACATTAAAAATGTAGATAACTAGCTTCTTAGAAATTATGTTTCAGTGAGGTTGTTTTACTGCATTGTTACTGGAATAATGGTGAAGTGATTACAGTTTTTTAATAGAAAGTTAAAGTACAATTTTGCAAAAACTGAACAGAACCAATTTTTTGATTGTCTGTTGCACTTACGGTTGTGTTTCCTAGCCAGTTTCCTGCTCGGAGCTTTCTTTGGAGCGCACACTGTGCTTTTAATGCACAAAATTAAATTAATTACCTTTTGGGGAACTAATCCAATTTTTCAGCTATTTTAATATACATTAGGGTAATGCTACAAAACACTGTATGTCCTACTGATGGTAGGGAAGAGTATTTCTTTGTAATGTTTTAGATTAAATCTAAATTCCATGGAAAGCAGATGGTTTTGACATCTACAGTGAATCTTTTGGCTATAAAAACGTTGATCTGTAGTGACATACAAGCATTATGAAGTGCTGTTTTCCTTCCTGTCTACACCCATGCGGTGTTACCAAGTGCTTATCAATTGGTGCAATGTCTTACCTAATGGAGTTTTTACTTATTTACGTTTTCAAAGAAAAGATATGTGCCTTTTTAAGGATGCCTACCGCAGAGTGGTGCTTTGCCTGGAGGGAATATTTCTAGTGTGCGAGAAGGATGAGGTAGCAAGACACGATGTCTTCAAGAGTTCAGGGGGAGTGCAACTACAGAAGTAGTCCTTACACATAGCTGGAGGAATGCAACCCAGAATTGGTCTGGGATGGTATTTGTGGGTAAACTGAGATCCATATTATGAAATACCTTGCCTGCCTCCCTTTTCACAGAGTGCTCTTAGTGTTTTCTTAGGACATAGCATCTGTCTTGCAATATCTGTATGAAAACCTTCCTGCAGTAGTTCCATTCAGTTTGATCTGAAGGTGTTTCTGTGGTATATGTAACTAAAAAATGAGGTGTGTTAGCGAAACATGTAAAGGACCAGTGTGGAAAGGAGAAGAATTAGATTCATGTCTTTCCTTGCCTGAATTTTGAGGGGTCGGGCAGTGTCAACAGCAGGACAAATGAAGAGGTAAAAGATAAATGTTCAGTGACCTACTGAATGGCTGCTAGTTCTGTAATACTGCCAGAAGGCACTGGGACAGGCTCCCCAGGGCAGTGGTCACAGGACCAGGCCTGCTAGAGCTGAATAAGCCTTGGGACAGTGCTGTCAGACGTAGGGTCTGGTTTTTGGGTGGTCCTGTTTAAAGCCAGGGTTTGGACTCAAGGATCCTTGTGTTTCCTTCCCAACTCAGGATTTTCAGTCATTACAGGCACAAGACTTAGATTCCTCATGCTGCTGAGTTTTGTAGGTGTAATTACAAAGTAATTCAGCTGTACAGCATTCTCTTTCATCTTAAACTGACAGTATAGGCAAGCTGAATGAACTGTAAAAATGCACATGGTGTCTTTTGGTAAAACAGAAACTTACAGGGAACTTTACATTAAGAAATACAAGTAAGTATACATTGATTAAATGATATATCCATTAATGCTGTCTTTTAAAAACACGCTTGCATATTTAAGACAGGTAAGAAAAGCTATGTAGTAGCAGACTTCATAAAGGGAACTAATTCAGCTTAACCTGTACACTCAGGACATTCACTTAACATATTCTGTAAAATGCACAGTTTGCATGTTGCAAGGCCACCACCTGTGAAGATAGCCCTAGGACGCATTTGTTGTACTTCACAAACATCAGTGACTGAAAACAAACTTAATTATAGGCTATTAGTTAAAGTTATCCTCAGTTAAAGTACTCTCTGGTCTTTACAGTTTCTTTCTAATCCCTATCATTTTATTGCTTGCATTTACTTGTTTAGTAATTTCTACTTAAACTCCAGCAGCTGATTTTTCTATAACCTCAGAGTTCTTCAGGAGCTGTTGTGTCACAATCCTTACAGCTTGTTTTAATGAAGAGGAAGGTTGTCATCAGCTCTGCTTTGTGACCTGTGCCAGGAACTTCACTAGCTGTCCTTTATTTTACAACAAAGGCAGTTTTAGCAGTAACTTCAATACAGATTATTCAAGGTGGTGCATGGCCACCGGCATGTAGCATGTCCGTCCACTTGACTGGTTCTGTTTTCTTCATTCAGAACCAGTGGAGAAGATCCCTAAATTAACATCACCTTTTGCCGTAAGCAAAAGGGAATACATTGGATGAATATGGTTTTCACTGAATTTTTACAATAGCCTTCTAAAGAAAAGATAGTATGATGGCAGTGGTTTGTTGTTTTTTTTTTTGCATTTTTTTTAAATTAATTGTCATTAACAGTGCTGGGAATTATAAGCATCCTACAGAGGATTAAATTGAAAAAGAAAAAGCATTGGTAATGCTGACCTGTGTCAGAAGTGACTTGAGTTTGTTCATGTTGCTTCCCAGGCTTTTTTTGTTTTGTTATCCACTTACTCTCCAACTATGCAGGGAGGTTTCAGAAGCTGTGGCTGACAGCACAGTTCTTCTGACAGTAATCCAAGTCAGCGAATTATCTTTAGTTTATCATCTGAAACGTCTGACTGTACAAGCTGTATCTGGCTTGGCAGCATATGCTGAAGTGGGTGGACATCTCTACGACTGAAGCAACAGAGCTCAAGTCACGCCGTGGACTTGGAGCTAGGGAGAGGCTTCTGGTCTCACTCATGACACTCTACATGCTCCTAGAGCTAGTTGTCTTTTCCAGTATGCCCTTAAACACCAGAATTTTGGACAAAACTTCTTCCTAAACTATATACTTGTTAAATCCAACCCCCCATTGTAAGAATTATTTTTCTCTGCTTCATAAACTCACCGATTATTCTGGAACTCAGTGTTATTTACACAGCACTGCACGTGGACTTTTGTGACAAAAGAACTGCTGGGCGGTTTATTGAAGGTGGTCTGGAATGAAAAGTCACTGAAATTGCCATGTTGGCTATTTAATTCGAGAATTCAGCTAATTACTGCCAAGTTCCTCCGTTATTTTTAATGAAGATAAAATGATTTGTATAGGCCTTTTTTTACGTGATCATGGTACATGGGAACCGAGAGGCTTTAGGACACTTGAGCAGTTACAGCAGCAATAGTAGGAGTTGCTGTAAATTGGTGCTAGTCAGCTTGCGCAGATGTGCCTGTTCAGGAGGCCAATACAAGTGTGATGATAAGCACCCGTCACTGCACACGATAAGTTTAGGTAAGCATAGCTAAACTTATGCCAAGTTTTGCATGTGCAGAAGTGTAGATTAAAAGTTAAATATCAGGTATGGTAAATGTTAGTATCTTCTCTTAGTTTGGACTGTATGTCAGTTTAAAAAAAAATAGAACTGAAATACAAAATATTATGTTTTAGTATAAAACACCTGGAAACAGTGGGACTAAACAGCAAGTGCACAAAAAGAAGAACAGAAATGACTTTTATAATCTTACCACATGCCTTCTTTTTGTGCAGAGCATGGCGAGGCAGAAGTTTTCCATCTGTAGATTATCACTCTGCTTTCCTCCCTGTTTGCAACAACATGAAAAGTGTCATCTGACTGGACTCTTTGCTGATGACAAGTACAGGAAGCCATGGACTAGAGGTTTATTCGATAATTTTTAGTTTAAATTCTCTGTGGATTAGAAAAAATCTTGTGTTTGGGCATAACATGCTGAAGTCTGGTAGGAGGAAGATATACTTCCAGAAGAATCAGTATACCAGGTCACATATTTGAAGGTAGCATTTGTTAGATGTCCAAGTAGCAACAGATGGGTAATGGATATTTGTTTGTATACGCTACCATAAATGAGGGTGATGTTTGTTTAGTTTGTGGAAATATCTGTAAAGCTGCTGAATTAATAAAATACAGTACAGCATGTCATGGGATGGGCTGTTATGGAAGAAAAATATCGCTTGTAGATAAGTAACTAAAATCTGATTGGTTGGGAGAGGCTTGAAAGATCATGTTGAGATTTCAAGTACGGGAAAAGGTAGGGATTTCCAAGCACAGAGGGAAAGATTTATGATTATAGACTTAAGTAGTTGCATCTTTCTGGATTATTTTCATTTACTGTTGCTAATGGAAGTTAAAAATATTGTTTCTTCTGTACACAGGAGCTATAGTTTAGCCATTCCAATCTATACGTATAGATAAAAAAATAATATTATGTGTGATTTTTTTTCTCTGTTTATGCCTCAGTTACATCAACACAGAACACAATTGCTATTTCAGTGTTGGATCAATGGAAGAAAAGTTTATCTGTGGAGGATTTCCTGGAAAAGTCAGTACCCGTAACCTTAACTTGTAAAGATACATTACTCCTTTGATATCATTCAGGTGCTTTGTGAATCATAAGCTAATGAGGATAATAGAATATGGAAATGTTTTATAATGGTAGGAAGTGAATAGTGCACTTGAAGCTCTGTTAGCAGACAGCTTAAAGATATCTTTGTCACTAAAAGTAGTACTATATTTTTATGGAGTTCTGTGCTTCCTTATCTCAATTTTATAATTTCTTTGTAACCTATTGGAGAAAGTCACTGAAATCTATGCACAACTGTGAAAGTAAACCACACAGACATTTTCCACACCCCTGCTTGAAGAAGGCAAGTATCTCTCATAAATGCTATCCAAAGAATGCTGACTTTTGAAAAGAAGCAAAAAGCAACTAGAAAAAAATCAAGCTTATATCATAGGGATAGAAGATAGAATAGAAATAGAGTTCATTATAAAAACAGGTTTCCAGTGTGGCATTCCCAGCATACATAAGACATGAAAGAAAATAATTTTACTATGAAACCAGTAAATTGTGTATAGTTCTTCTCTTAAATGATTTTCAATACTAAAGAAATAGAGAAAATACAGTAGTGGTTTTACAGGCCAATCTGTAGGAAAAAGAAAGAAATGAAAAAAAAAAAGATGTGAAGAAAAGGTGTGGTTGCAGGATTAAGCAATCATATATACAGACAAAATGCTAGCACCAGGCTTGCCAGTACCTTACAGTGATGTTTTCTGTGATTTCACTATGTTACAGCCTTCAATTGTATTGCTACGTACTACTTTTATTTTATATTTTGTACATAAACCTCTGCTTATTCACAGTACAGAAATGCTCACCATATGTGTCAGGGCTGTACATTGATTTATGTGGTTGTCTGTGCAATTCTGCCTCAGTTGCAGCAATGGAGAGGAGCTTTTTGTAGATGTGGTACTGCGTGAAGAGGAAGTTCATGGTTCTTTAAAACAATAGCTACTACAAGAGAAAACTAGAATAAAAAGCACATACATGGGAGGTTTTCTGGAAAAAAAAAATCTTAATTGAAAATCTTAATTTAAAAAGGCAGTTAACTCCCTTAGTGTTAATCTGTATAATTTATCTTGTTTATCTGTTTATCTTCAATCATTTGTTAATGATCATAAGCAACTCTGGATATCATGTAATATCATGGAACTTGGTTAAAGAAATCAAATAAAGAAATTGATTTCTTGGTTAAAGAAATCAAATGCTGCCTGGGGAACTGATTCTGTATTTGCTGTTGCCAAAAAATGTGTGTTTTTGGGCAAGGCACTCAAACTGAGAAGTCTGCAGTTATCCATTGAATGTGCTTCTCTTATTTTCTTGCAGACCTAGAGAAGATGATGGGTGCTTGTAAGATGATTGGAGAGTCCTAGTGCTTGAACAATGTAAAAATGCCAAATAGCTTCCAAGACTAGGGAGTGTAATATCTTAAATTGACACCTAACATGAGTATCTTGGTCCTCTTCTAGAGAATAGAGCTTTTAATACCATTTTTGTGGGAATCTTGTAAATATTAATTACTTTCTGTTTTTCTTACAATGCTATTAGAAATATCCAAGATAGCATAGTTGTATTAATTTGGATTTTGTTAAAGGGCCTACAGCCATATACTGAATTGCGAAGATAATAGCACTGAACAAATTTTCATTATTCTGTCATCCACTTCAGAAATGTTAGCACCATCAGTCAGAGTCATTTATTGTTCAATCAATGCATGTGGATAATGGAGCATTAACAGGGGCATATTTTAAATAGCAATTACAAATATTTTATCCAAATAATAATAATTAGCATAGAATAATAACTTTCTGTTGTCAAGCAATTTTGCTATTTATTTGGTAACAATTTTTCTCCCTGATGAATAGCAGTAATACTGAAATTGGCATGAAAAGTGACAGGAAAATGAAATGGTTTTGTTTCCTCATTTATCCCTTATTTTACCTTCTGCAGTTTCTACTATGCTTGCAATTTCTGCATGATGTGTGAAACGTGAATACACTTTTAACCCAGCAGATTTTTGGTCACAAGTGTTATGACATCAATAGGTTTGATGATTTATTTTTCAAATATTACCCTTTGTTCAAGTCCATGCTGAGAGTAAATTTAAAGGGCTTTTTCTTGTGGAAGTTTTAAAACTGTAATTTGAGAGTAGAGAGATTGAACTTTGTATTTATATTAGAGTAGTAGTAATAACTTGTAATTTCCAATCTTTCTCACCAAATACAATGACAATCAAAGTTCTTAGAGTATCTTTCTGAGTACATTGATTCACTTGGGAGGCAGGGAAGTTATGAAAGTGTTCTTACAGCAGCTCAAAGTATCAGATTTTTTTTCTTCTGTTTAGGAAACCTATCACTTCTCTAGAGTTCCATAGTAATAATGAATTGATAGAAGTTGTTCCAAGTTCAAATCCCTGCTCTCAGACTGACACAGAAGAACTTTATTTACTCAAGAAGGATATCTGTATGGAAGGATCAACTCAAGACAAATATTTGAAGGCTGACTTTGCCTCTGAACTTAAAGAACAATGGCAAGGTAAAATGTTTGATTCACTGTCTTGTAACTGTTTACAGAGTAAGCCTGTTAACTTATAAAATTCTTTTTTGTGTTTTGCATTTTGTTCATTTGAAGAGATCATTTGAGTGATCACATTTTGCCATTTAATAGCAATTTATTTGCTGGAGAAGCAGGGCTTAACAGTTCAAGATAGATACAAGCCAAAAGAAGTTTCAGGCCAATTAAGCATATGGCAAAAGTTGTACCAGAAGTATCACAACAAATAGATCTTGTTAGGCATTGCTCAAAATGCTAATGATCCCTTGTTCTTCAATAAAATTATGTTCCTGAGGCATGTTCTTTTGCCATAGCAAGAAGAGAAAGAAGTAAGCAGTTTCTGCTTTGTTGCTTGGATTAAGGTATTTCAAACTGAATAGTGTTCCCTAGTATTTTTGACAATTTTCTGGTTGGTAGTGCCCAAACAGATATACTATGAACTATCCAGGTTTATTTTACATTGTTTGTCCATCACTAATTAGATTCATTTAGGAAAAGAAAGTAACTTAATCAATTGCTCCACAGTGGCACAGAGGATGCAAGTGGTTCTTAATGCAATATTGTACAAGATAACATTTACTTCGAACACAGTATCGACAATGAATTTGTATTGCAGTTAATAATTGAAACTAATCTTAGTTCATCTCATTAAGCAATTGCCTGATTTTTTTTTTCCAGTTAGGTGGTATACTACAAAATATTTTAATAATTAATAAAGCTCTCTATATTATGTGTTTACAAAGAGAATAAAAAGAATTCAGATGCTTTCCCATGTCATAGCTCATGCTTTTTAAAAACAACCTCAAGAGGGCTAAATCTCCATGGACTGAAAAAAAAAAAAAAATTCATAAAACTTTTTTTTTCTTTGAAGTTACAAATAATTATTGTATTTAAGAAAAAGTAGGCAAAATAAAGAGAGTAGATTTTCCTTTTATAGGAGAACATCAAGCCATTTGCTATTCTGTTGACAGGTTAATTAAATTAACAGATCAATAACAATCTATCAGTGTAACCACTGCATTACCACAACCCATTTTTCTAACTTATCGTTGCTTTAAAGAAGGAAATGGTAGCAAAAGGCTCATGTTTGTGGGAAATGTTTATTCTAACACTTTTTAAAGCCATGATTTTGAAAGGTTTCAGAGCTATTTTGGGTCAATGAGAACCTGTTAGTTAATGCTAACTAGTCTGCTGACAGCATAAAACTAATCAAAGCTAATTTTCAGTAAAGGCATGAAGTTATAAACAGTGAATACAAAACATAGGAATTTACTGATAGGTAAAAGTTATTAGAAGTGGAATACTATGTGTGATGTGATGTACATTCTTGACAACCTTTACTGAAAAAAATAAGATAATACCAAATTAAGAAAGAACATGATACAGAATTTGAAATAATTTAAAATATGCATTTCCAAGAGATAGGTAATGTTTTAATTCAAAATAGCTTGTTTTATTAGTGCAAGGTATTTTGCTTTTTTCTACCAGCCTGTGCATATTAAAGTGTTTCATAGTTATTCATGTTAATGTTAAATTCAAAATAAATTGAGGTCCATAATTTCATTTTTCTTGAAATCATAATCATTTATATTTTTGTCTGTTTCTTTTTTCAATACATTTATAATTGTTGCAGAACTAGAGAATCCACATTTAGGCTTAGATGTTTATGAAGAGACTGCCTTTTGGAATATATGAACCTGTCCAGAATTTCTCTGAATTAAGCTACTCAGCAAAAACCTACCTTAAAAGTTCCTTTATAATACTTGATAGTGGAAACAAGGGAATGAAAAGAGTGTAGCTTTTCTTTTTAACGGGTGTTACATAAAACAATAAAAACAATTTAGAAAAAAAGCTAAAGAAAACCAAAGCTTATGAGGTGAACCCATGGAAATGTAGACTGGGTTTCATTTAAAACTTAAAAATCCTAAAATATTTAAACTCAGAAATAGTTATTGTTTTGCTAGTATTTATGACATTTGGACAGCTGCTTCACAATTTTGTTTATTCTGATCATTGTAATTATTTTTATACTGTTTGACAAAGTATTTTTCTTTTTTGTTTCTTCAGATTTACAGGTTGGAGACGAACTTATTTTTGTTGATAATCTTGAAAACTATCATAAAAAACTTCCACATTCATCTGCACTTCTGGATAGATTAAAATTTTTTTCAGTGAGAGATCCTCTTTCAGATTCTGGAGGACAGAATTTAAGAGAAGAGAACATTTTTAGGTATCTACAAATTATATAATATTAAATATAAATAACAGCTCTTGAGTAAGGCCATTAGCAGTTTAACATCTCATATGCTTTTTAACTAATTTAACAATTAAAGACTTCAGCTTTTCTTCTTTCATAGGAAAAAATGAATAGGATAGCATTTATATGTACTCTTTAAGAAAAGTGAATAAATTAAATAAAGTAATTTTTATATTTTGCAAGTATTAACTATGCTCAGGATTTTAGTTTTGGAATGCTGAAAAAATGTCTGTTTTTAGGAGACCTGGTACTCCTTGACTAATTTCCTGTCAGTAAAATTGCACTAAATTTACTTGGGCCAGGATTTTACGCATGCTTCTATGTTCCTTTTTCTCCTCCTCCTCTGTTGTGCAGTCAGTAATCCGTTCCTTTAGCCCACTGTTCTTCAGGGTCAAATATTAATTGTTTTTCTGTCTTTCCTTACTTTCATAGTGCCAGTTTGATTGAATTTAATTGAATGGTGTCTTACATCAGGGATTTGAACAAAAGGGATCATCAGAATATATGTTATATTCAGAATGTACCCGTGTACATACATTAATCTGTAATGTAATCTGTTAATCATGTAGTACATTAATCTGTATATACATACTCCTAAAGTCTGGCTAAATTTTCTGCTGATTTACTCCATGTCTGGATGACTTGTCTAACTTCCTTTGCACTTGACAGGGTTGCATGATTCACAAGCAAGGCAAAACAGAATTCAAATGACTTAACTGTACTTACATAATAATAGAACAAGGAGGACTGTGATTATTTTCCTTTTTTTATTTTATTTTATTTTATTTTTTTCCAAAACATGAGCTTTGATCTTCCATTGAGTTCTGGTCATTAGACTATGTGCATATGCAGAGTTTCGTAAATGTCATTGAATCATATAGGTTGGAAAAGACCTCTAAGATCATCTAGTCTAACCTTTATATTTATATCCTGCAAAGAGAACATGATTCAAATTCCACGATAACTTTTAAGAAATACCAATCAATGTGAGAAAAAATGCTGGTGTGAACCTTGACAGAAATAGATGTGATCTGCTGATGCTCAGCCAGCAAAGCCACCAGACTACTTATGGTGGGAGCCTAAATCACCTAGCAGAGCACACAGGGAGATGCACATACACAAAGGGATACAATTAGACAAACTTCTATTGAATATAAAGTCTTAGATTTCAGTCTTAGATTTGAAGTAATCATTTGCTTTGTTTTCTGATCTTCTAAAGGGAACTCTTGACTTTTCAAAAGGAAATGGAGATGCAGGAGAGTAAAAAAGAATTGCAGGCAATTAAAGAGATGTTCTGTACAATAACTTTAAAAGATGAAGAGGTATCATGATGTTGTTTCTCGCTAATTATTGTGTTAGTGATCAGTTTGTGTGTTCGTCTGCAAGTCATTTTACTGATTTATTTTTTTCATACTTGCTAAATATTTGAAGCTTACCTATTTCTGAGATTAGAAAAACACTACTATTATTTGTATATTTGTAACTTTTGAATATCATTGTTCAGAATCTCCACTCTAATCATCTGTTTCTACTGGAACCTGATGTGTTCACAGTTTTATGGAGGCAATGCTACACGAAGAATAAAAATGAACCAGAATAGAATGCCATGATATGCCCATAGGAAATTGAAAGTTCTAATGTGTATTTGGGGATTTGGCTTCTATTAAAAAAAAAAAAAAAGAAAGAAAAAGGGGTTTTTTCCTCCATTATACAACATTCTATCAAAATAAACTTTCAATTAAATAAATGAGGATTTTACTTGATTTGTAACTGTAAGCTTAGATCTACTCTTCATATTCCACTGGCTCATTTTGAAATTCTATATGCTATCATTTTTCTGTATATTGAGCAAAGCTTTGTGTATGCTATATACATGTCATATGACTTCCTTCCTGAAAGCTCTTAGATCAAGCTAGAATTAATTTAATTTAATAAACTATTTCAAGATTTTTAAAAAGTTTAGACTGTACAATAATATCAAAAGAAACTTAAAATTTTACTTAGCATTTTACGGTGGTTAATATTTTTCAGTATTTTGTGTTGCCTGTCGAGTTAGAATTCTGTAAAACCAGCAACAGCAGATCAGATTCCATTAAGACTCCATCATATATGGAACTGAAAGAGCTGTTAAATGTAGCTCCAGAAACTATGGCTGATGAAGACAAGTGTGGAGAGGTGGTCAAAGAAGGTGAGCGCTGATTTTCTTATATGCTCAACCCAGTTTTCCTATTGTTTTCACAGATTTAACACAATATAGCTCTTTTACAATCAGTTCACTTAGAACTTTTATTTATTTATTATATTTTTATATTATTTATTATATATTTTTATTTATTTAGTATTTATTTGAGTGTATCAGATGAGAACTTTGATACATGAAATCATGAACTGTGCTATACGCTTATTTCAAAGTATTAGAAATGTCTCCTCAAATAGCCAAGGGGAAATGCCCATAGGTTCAATCATTGGTTATGTGGCAATCTTGGAAATAAATGTAATGTGAGCCATGATATCTGTTCCTCCATGATTATGGTAATTTAGTGTTACATTTTATTATCTGTAACTGATTTTGATTTCAGAGATATCCCCAAGAGATTACATGTAGTGTGTCCATTCCGTATACATTCTTTGTGCTACTTTGTAATCGCACATGCAAAAGCAGATTTCTGGAAAAAAACAAAACAAAACAAAAACCAGTTAAATACGCCCATGGCCAACAGAAATATTCTAAATAGCAGTTGAAACTTCTTCAAAGGAATTTAATAAAAGTTACCAAATTCTTTTACACCGCAGATAAGTACAACTTTAAAGACAGTTATTAGCCTGGATTGATGCCTGTGGAAGTATTCTGTATAGCTAGGAGAAAAGACAGTGCCTGATATTTTTAATTCTGATTAAAAAAAAAAAAAAAAGAAAGAAAAAAATATTGGTTTTGGCAAACAAGAGGAAAACTACTTCTTTGTTGGGGCAAAAAGTTAACAGTAATCTTAACTTAGAGAGTAAAGCTTAAAAAATTACTTGTATATTTAACATGGACAGTTCCATGTTCGTTCCTCTGATACATTTAGTATATCACAACATATATGCCATGCTTATAGTACCAAGCCCAACGACACAGCCTCCACTACAGAGGTTTGAGGATTTTGTACATAACTGTCAGTCTATTCTTTTGTATTCTGTTTTAGTGCTCTTTAGTTGCAAGAGAACCTACATACAAAGACACTTAGTAAACTACATTGATGCTACCTACTTATTCCAGACATCACATCACTGTGGTCGTAAGAATTTTGAGTAGTTCAGATGCTGACTACCTTACCCTGCAATTTTTTTTTGTCACCTTGAAGGGACAAGACTGGGCACTGCTCTGATCAGTCACATCTGGTGTTACTAAGCATAACCTTAGTTTTTCGTAATGATAAATTTTGGAGATCTACTATGTATTTTTTTAATTGCTTTGACAGTAAAAAGAAATAAATGGTTTAGTTATGGCACCTTTTAAAATCTATTTTCAGATGTTAAAGCAGAAATTTCAAACAAAATTGAAGTTTCCAAATACTGTCCCATACCGGGAGAGCTTTGCTCCAGTAACAGCACAAGTATGTTGGAATCCTGTGAGTCAGGTAGGAAGACCTACACCCAGTGCTAGTACTCAAAATAATTTTTCAAGCAATTGTCCCATATTCTGTTCTTCACACTTCTTATCAACTCAAAGTTTCCATGTTAGGGTGGTTTTGTCTTGAGCTCTTATGCTGTTCCACCTAAACAAAGTTGTATGTAGTAAATCTCCATCTGGAGATTTTTTCCTTGCAGGATTAACTTTAATCTGAACCTATTCAGCTAGCTGCCTACTCTTTACTTATAATGCTTCTGATATGCAGGAGGCGCTTAAGCATAGCAGGTTAGAGCAGCTTGGGACTCTCCTGTATATAGAAATAACAAGTTGGCCATGGGCATGTTTAGGACCTTGTCCATTCTTTCAGTGTAGATGAGTGCTCAAACAATCTTGAACTGTTTTTAGAATAACGTAAGAGCGTTAATCTTTGTTTCCAGCTTGCTGGCTTAGCTCTGCTATTGGGTCAGGCAAGATTCAATCGCATGGGCACAAGCAGCTTCTGTATCTGTAGGATAGAGACCTGCAAAACTGGATGTGCGTTGCTAAGACTGTTTTGTAATGGAAGTTAACGTAGGCATCACGTGTCAAATTTCAACAAAGATACCTTGCAGTCTTCTCCTCCTTCTTAATTTTGATATGTATGAGTTACCAGGAGTGCAATATGTTTGCCTGGACTCAGAGAATAAACAGTAATAAAATAATGGCATTTTTTATAAATGTTTCATTGTTTACCTACCTTTCCTGCTAGCAATGGAGAATGTTTATTGACAAAGGAGCTGAGACACAGGAGAAATCACTCAGTCTTTTTTGGTTTTAAGAGGGGAATGGCACCTTGAGTGTAGGCAGAATTTAGCTGATATAGTAGGACAGAACAGTTCAGTCTCAAAGGCAAAATAACTAGATGAGAACAAATAGAGAAGAGAAATAATTGTTCTTTTTAGTTGTGGAAGGAATTTTTCCATCCTGAGATCAGCTCCTGTTCTGTTCAAATAAAAATGCTACATTTTTCTCACTACAAAAATTAAATAAAATAAAATATAGTAAGATAAAATGTGAAACTGCAGCTGAAGTTCTCTAAGCATCTTTTGTTTCTAAGTAACTCAGAAAGAAATTACATTGATTGGAAGTCTGTTTCTTTCTTTTGTAACAGCTGTAGTTTCTTTTGTTTTCAATGTGTAGTGTTATATTATTTGGCTTACTAACAATGTCTTGTATCCTTCCTGCCATACAATCTGCTTGTTAAGTTGGCAAGGAGCAGCTGTAAGCAGCTGGGCAGGTAGCTAATTCACAGCCTGCTGCGTGCCAGTTGGCCAAACAATGTGCATATGGTGATTGCAGCTGCTTACTGCCTGTTGGAATGAGTAGGGAAAACACATACAAGTGTTTTTTTTTCCCTATGGGAGCACTAATTTACTTCAATTTTTTCTGGCAGTTTTTTTTCCCAGAACATGGAGGAACTTTTTATTTGTGACCTTTACTTTCTGGTAAAACATAACTAGAAATATTATTAGAAGAATACCAGAGAGGCAATCACGTAAATATATAACTACCAAGGCAATCATGTAAACTCACAATTTTTATTGAATGACACCAAAAATCCACCAATTGGCAATTTCCATTTTAGATTTTAATCAAAAGAAACAATCCATTAAAATATCCACATTGAGTATGATTAGCAAAAAAAGTTTATGAAAGTAACTTGCAGGTACTTGTAATGTGCCAGGTTTGTCTGTGTACTGTGTTTTAAAAATGGTGCTGTGATTCGTTTCAGTGGTCACACCTATAAATTACCATCTAAGTAGCTTCATTTATGTGGGAACTAGTTAAGAATGCCAACAATGTTCATCGCTTAATACAAAACCTTAGCCACAATACCTTAGCTGCAATCATAAAAATCATCTTACATGGGAAGAGTAGGTAGCCAGAATTACATCACAGAAGGAGTAAAGAAATGAAATCTACATATTATTATCCCCAAACTGTCAGGAAATTAAATGTGGAGTATGTCAGTTTGTTTTTTACTGCTGAAGTAGTGAATTGTCCCATTAAAATATTTTGTATTGTAATGTAATCTTTGCTAGTGTAAAATCTCTGAGTATGTGTGTTTGTTTCATTCACATGTGGCTTTGTGAACTGTATTAGATTTTTGTTTACTATGGGTGGGGCTTTATGCATTTTCTAGCTAAACATGTTTCATATCTGCAAGATGAAATAGAAGTACCTTTAACTCCTTTGTGCAGACAACAAAGATCACAGGTGAATTTTATGTGTGTAGGACTTCAAGAAGAACCTATTCCTCTTTCTGATAACAGGTAATGAAAACTTTGTAGTGATTAGTCCTGTCATAGATACTCAAAATCGTAAATCCTCAAAATCAGTGCAAAAATAGCTTTAGTCTATTTGTGAATTGGTAATCATGTGCTTTTAGACAGCTGCGTATATTTTCTATTTTGTCTTAAAGAGTAAACAAAGCGAAGGATTGGAATTTCATGTTCAAAGAAGGGCAATAAAGCTGGTGGAAGGTCTAGAGAACAAGTCTTATGAGGAGCAGCTGAGGGAGCTGGGGTTGTTTGTCCTGGAGAAGAGGAGGCTCAGGGGAGACCTCATTGTACTTTACTACTGCCTTAAAGGAGGTTGTGGTGAGGTGGGGACCACCAAGTGATAAGATGAAGGGAAATGGCTTCCAGTTGTGCCAGGGGAGGTTTAGGTTGGATATGCCTCTGAACTAAGTGGCTATGCCACTTAGTTCATGAAGCAGCCTTGATGGTTCTCTCACCCCCTCCCTCTTAGAGTGGTATTGCATTAAGTGACTTTGTATATATGTAAGAAACAAATGCAGTGAATGAGTGTATGAATGAATGAAATGAACATGAAATTTGGAGAGAAGTTGGATCTTTAAAAACTTTTGCATAAATCAACTAGTTTCAGAATTCAACAGATAATTCACACCCTCAAGTCTTGTTTTATGCTCTTAGTGTTTTTATTACAGAGCCCTCTAGAGAATACTTAGAATGCTTGGTATGGCAATCAGAGAAATATCGGGACAATGTGAGCTCTCTTTTGCTTGTCGGTAAGGACATATTAAATTCCTAATTGATGTTGAAGAGTTCCACATATGTATGGAGAAAATACAGTGAAAAAGATAACATTACCTTACAGAACACATCTTTTGAACCTCTGGAGTTTACCCTGTTAATGTAACTCTGTTTTGGTTTGTTTGATTATTTTTAAATCTTTTTTTAGAACACATAAAAAATTACATAGAATTACATGTGGCAACATAAAAGTTACTATTTTATCTTCTATGGAGATAATCTGAATGAAGTAGGAGTTCTATTTCATTATAAAAATGTTCAGTTCAGTGCTATTAATTGTATTTAATGAAGGTAGCAATTTAAATTTAGTAATAAAATTTGTTGAAGTAACTCTTTTCTTGCTGCTATTTTTCCTTAAATAATGTTTCAAAATGTGTATCAAGCAATAGAATAATACTGTTAATGTAAAATAATGTTATAATTTGACCAGAGTAGAGTTCATGTTAGGGGACAAAACATAAAATAAGCTACAGGTGATTTCTGACAGCACCAGATTACTCGTTACCACTGTTCCTTCATTTCTTTTACTTTTCTCTATTTTGCAAGTCTCAAGATTGAGTAAAGAACCTGTTATGCTGTCCAGTTCATTTATATATATACATTCATTTTTTGATTTTTGACAGTTATTTATTGTGGGCTCTATTATTTATTTATTTATTTTCCTGTTAAGGATTATATTACATCTTTGTAAGTATGGCAGGTAAATTCACAGATAATTGGGTCATCTGTAAATTTAGTGATGTAGTTACATGATAATAGAGCTGAAAAAATTTACAACCCCTGACAACTAAAAAGCAGGCTTGCTCTTTCTAGCTATTTTCCTTTTAAGCCTATCAACGGAAGCTGTGTTGCAAATTAAAATATAAGCAAGGGGTATGCATAGTAGGTAATGAGTACCTGTGATTTTTCTTTTCCAGAGTGACATTCTATTTCCAGGTTTCTAGATTACTAATCATTGATTTCTGTTTTTGTAGAGCATCAGACCTTTAAACTCGCATATCAGCATCATTCACTCACGGAACTGAAGAAAGTGCTATCAATTGATATAGAAGCACCGATGCTTACCTCTCTAGAGGAGGACTGGTGGATTCATATGGGATTACATCCTGTCTGTGTTGATACATTGGAGCTATTAAATATGGATTCCAGGAATACAAGCAGTTTGCTTCCTACAGAAGTAGAAACATTCACGCAATTTAAATCATATCAACTAGAACGTAGGTATCTTCCTTAAAAATCAAAAAATATGGTAACAAGGTAAAGATAGGTTCATTAACAGAGAATCAGTCAGGGGCAGTTGGGTACCTCCATCAGGAAAGGAAATGGAAGATTTCTTGTTCTTAAGAACAACATATTTTGTAACACTATGAAGCAGAAAAATGACTATTGTATAGATGTACTTGCACAAACTTGCAGTAATAAAAGTTTTTAACTCCACAGTTATTTTTTCTAATAATGTGCAAATGAAAAGTAGCCTTTACCAGCCGTAGTACTTTTTGTTAAAACAGTTTAATACAGGAGAATTTCTTTTGGACTGGATTATTTTGGCAAAGCAGACGTCATATAATCCTTTCAGCACCAGGCCAGTGGGAGGGTGTGTTACAGTGAAAATTCTTTTTTGTGATGTTTTTCAGAAAAATTTTTTAGTCTGACTACAGCTTCAGACAAACTGCTGATAAATATTAGAATTTCTAACAGAGCACTATGCATACTTAGAATCAAACAGAAAATGCAAAAAGTTATTTAGAATTTTGTATATAACTGTGGCCTGACTTCAGGACTGTCAGTGTGGTTGTAGAACTCCATGGAACGCTAGAAACATAACAGATTGTGATACAAATAGGCACAACTCATGAAAAAATGTTGTCACTTAACTTCTTTTTAGATACTGGAAAGTATTTAGTTACTGTGTTTAACATGGATGTGCTGCAGCAATGCAAAAATTACAGTTCTATTGAAGCACTTCTTTCAGAAGGTGGTAATTGCATGCTTTATTTTTTTATTCCTCTTATAAAAAATCTGTTAAGCTTTTAATCTTTTTTCTTAATCAAATGTGTTGCATCCCACTTCTTAGAAATCTAACACCTGGAAGCACCATGCAAATGATAATAACTTATTAAAACAGTAGCACGGCTTTCTGTTTCTCAGCGTTACACATCTTGAGTTAGGACTAATCAGTACAGATTTCCTAAAATCAGATTCTAACAATCCAGGAATCCAGAGGGATAAAATACAAAAATGCTGTCTCTATAATTAAACCAAAACTGTTTATATCAAGCAGGAGGAAGAAAAAAATGTTCTGCATTACAGTGGAGTAATCAAATCTTATTTTTTAGGATGGCTTGAAGAGAAGAATTCCATGACAAATCAGGAGTTGTTTTCTGCCAAAAGACATCAGTTGGACCAAGTAACTAATGGGACCTTGCCTATAAATGCTGCATCTTCCGTCAAAATAGACAGTACAAGTACCTCTGTAGAAGAGTTTGATGGAGGAAGCATACAAAAGAGTAAAGTAGAAGAGAAAATTTATTTCTTAAACCAAGGAAAGAAGACATTCAAATCACTTGAAGCAGTCAGCCCTGAAGATGTATCTTTTAAAGAAGACAACTCTTCTGAGGCTCAGAAGCCTGCATCATTCCCACAAGCTACAAAATGGGACAATGATGATTCTGATCTGAGCAACTTTATCATGCTGAGATCTAAACACACAATCACTCAAAGAGAGGAAGAAAATGATGTAGATAGTCCTGAAAAAGGTATGTGAACCAATTTATTGTGCCATTAGTCCAGGTTTAGTTTTTCTTTCTGATACCAGTTACAATAGATGCTGGTAGTTCACACTGGTAACATTTTTAAGATCTTTAATGTAGCTAAATTTTCATCTAAGGTTATTGAGTTTGTTATTCTTTAGATATATTTGGGTTGTTTTTGTTATGCTTGCTTGTTTTTTAATAAAATATATATGACATTAATCCTATTCTGAAAAGTAACTTTAAATGGTACTTACTGCAGAAGATCTGAACACCAGGAAGCACTTTACTGTGTGGTGGTGGAGCACTGGCAGAGGTTGCCCAGAGGGGTGGTGGAGTCTCCTCCTTGGAGATCTTCAAAAGCTGCCTGGACGTGGGCCTGGGCAGCCTGCTCTGGGTGTCCCTCCTTGAGCAGGGGTTGGACCAGGTGACCTCCAGAGGTGCCTTCCAGCCTCAGTCATTCTGTGGTTCAGTTTTGTCTTTGTGTTCTGAGTCAGATCTCCTGACCTCTGTGGGTAAATCATTAGAATTAGCATAGCCTAGACAACGAGCAAGAGTTAAGGTTCTACTCTGAAAACAGCTGTTGGAGCCAGTTACCTTGATGCAAACCCCAGGAAACAGTGAGGCAGATCAGAAGTTAGGGAAAACAGTTATTGACAGCCCTCTTCTCTCTGATAATAGCACTTACGAGACAAGCTCACACTAAAGGTAAAATTCATTGCAGGAATGGAATATAGGAGAGAGGGAAACGAAGTCGAAGAAAGTCCTTGTGATTTTGTTTTGTTTTGTTTTGATTTATGGTACATTGGGAGACAGTGACATATTTCCAAACTCACTTTTCATTATAAAACTGTATTAAAAAAGAGTATTTTTCATTGTTTGGACCTGTATAATGGAGTCCTGACAACAACTTTTATCTGTGTTTCAGTTATATGTCCCCAACATTAAAAAAAAAATAAAAGGTAAATAAAACCTTTAAGCGATAATTCTTAGAGAAGCAAATTGGTACGTTTACTTAAGCACCTGCTCATATAATCTTATGGAGCAAATTATTTCTCAGTCAAATTCATCAGTAGCCATCTCTGGTACACGTGCAAAAACCCACTTTCATGTCATCAGAAAGGAACAATTCCCACTTTTAAAAGTCCCAGAGCAGGGTATCTAGCAGGATACTTTTGCTACCATCTAGTGAACTCTGACTAGAACTGCATCTCCGAAGAAAATGCAAAAGTTTTGAAAAGCAAACAATCTATGTTACACTTCCAAGCAGGGAGCAATAAGCCTGTGGAGGTTTAAGTTAAATGCCATGTAGAAACATAAAAGTTTACAGGTAGACCACAGTGTAATAGATTTGTTATATCTGATAAAACAAGAACATGTTAAAATATATAGTCTTAGCACATTAATTTAGGAAACATGTAAATTATTGTACACTTCTTGTGTGGATTAATGTCTTAGTAAAGGTCATTCTAAATTTAGCTGAAGATAAGAAATTCTAGCAAACTTGTAGGGCTGTTTCTCTTTTGGTATTCTTGGTTAGCTTATTTATTAAAGATGCCACTGTGTATAGTACTTAGGTTAGAAAATACACAAGAGGAAAGTAGTAGAATAAATTTATTGATCCAATTTTGAGCCCTGTATTGCTTTTCAAAAGCAGAAGACTTTTTTAACTTAAGAAGTAGTTTTTTAATCTTCTCTTTTTATCTCTATTTGCTCAGTTTGCTTTCTGAGGAAACTGAAGTTCATAACTAAAAATAATCAGCAATATTTAGGAGGCGCCTATCCAGCCAGAACCCCCTTCAGAAGTAAAGAGATAGATCTGTCAAAGGAAGTTTTGTGTACAGAAGTATGTGTAGCTCATGTATTATTATTTATAAGGAACAAAGGAAGGAAACTTTAAAATGATAACAACTTGCAATAGATTGCTGCACGATACAGGGGAAAAGTTACTTTCGATAAGCAGTTTTTCTTTTATTTTTCTTCTGCCATTTGCAGCTTCCGTGTTCTTTCTGGGTCACTTACGTTATCTAACCCTTTCTACTCTCACTCACTCTGTTACCTGATGTTTTCCACACTGACAGAGTTTTTTTTTTGTTTTGTTTGAGCTCCTTATGGTCAACAACTTCTTTGCTCTCATGCATGTTTTTTATCCATATAAATTTATATGAGCTTTACTATAGAATTACATTATTACAGAGCCATAGTAAAAGCTCCTGATTTTTCCCAACACTGTATTTCTGCCCTGAAGGAGAGGAACCTGATGGAGCCTGACTTCTTGGGAAGTACAGGCTGACAGCGTCACATCTCAGTATGTCTCAAAGTTTTTTTCCATAATATACAAGTCCATGGAAAAAAAGATGTTTGTGAAAAAAAAAATTGTATGTGTCATACACACTACTTAATCTGAAAATGTATTTATATGTAGAATTGTTTACAAAAAGTTTTCTTCATCACTGAGATGGTTGTGTGATATTCACGTCTACATCTTTTCTGTGGTTTGATGATTTAGTGCAACAACCCAAAGAGCAGCATTTACCTGATCACAAAGAGGAGATTTCTGTGTGTGAGCCTGTAAGAGCAGAGAAAGAAGAGAATGAGAGCAGCATCACAGCTGAAATTCAAGCATCAGGTACAGTATTTTTGGATGTGCTTTATTTTATGTAGTATTGCAATATGATATAATCTTACATTAAACAGTGCTACTCAGGCAAACATGAACATTATTAAACTTAATATCTCCTGATTGTGTCTGAAAGCATTCCGAATAGGTGGACATTTATGTGGACACACGTGTGAGAGCAAGCAGTGGAATTCAGTCTTATGACTTAGGCAAATCCCATGCAAACCAAAACATACAAGTTTTGAGTTATGTCAGATATCAGTCAGCTGATATGAAATTTCTTCATGCTACTCAGTACTCTCAAACTACAAATCTGCATTTTTCATCTCACAGGCAGAATGGATTAGCAGTGCTTTTGTAGGAGATGTCTGCAGCAAAAGTACAGTCTAACAAAGTAACTGTGCTGCTTTAACGCAGTAGCAATCCACCAAAGGCTTAGGGTTTATCTGATAAATTATTGAGCCTTACTCATTGAACTCATGCTGTTGTACTTTTCAAGACACTAATCAAAGAACACGCACTGAGAACAATTTCTTCGTACAGTAGAAATGGTGGAGAAAAACTACCATTTGTCTGGAAAGGTATATATATCTATATTTATTATATAGATATATTATATTTTTATATATAAAGATATTTTTCCAAGATATTTTACAGCCTCAAAGCAAATACATCCTAGGAACACCCAACCCCATCTGAGATGGGTTTATGAAGTATCAGGTGTTAGCTTTAAGCTTATTTTTAATGCTTTTTTTTTTTTTGTATATAACTTTGAAACAAGATTTCTTTAATATACTCAGAAAAAAAATCTCTTCAACAGTTAAAAAAATATATATATATATAATTTTGCAGCCTGGGACTGAATGTCCTCTTACAGCCCTTGAAATGCAGTGTGTGAATGTGTGTTTTAAACCATGGTTCAATAAGGCCAAGTGCAAGGCGCTGCATGGATTGAGAGCAGCCCTGTGGAGAAGGACTTGGGGATACTGGTGGGTGAAGAGTTAGACATGAGCTGGAGATGTGTCCTTGCAGCCCAGAAGGCCATCCATGTTCCAGGCTGCATCAAAAGAAGTGTGGCCAACAGGGCAAAGGAGTCGATTGTCCCCCTCTACTCCACCTTTGTGAGACCCCGTTTGGAGCACCACAACCTGTTCTGGGGCCCCCTGCACAAGAAAGATGAGGATCTATTTTCTGGATCTATATTCTGGAGCATCATGGCTCCAGAGGAGGGCCACAAGGATGATCAAGGAGCTGGAGCACCTCTCCTCTGAAGACAGGCAGAGGGAGCTGGGGATGTTCAGCCTGGAGAAGAGAAGGCTCTGGGGTCACGTTACAGCAGCCTTCCAATACCTAAAGGGGACTGACAGGAAACCTGGGGAGGGGCACTTTGTCAGGGAGTGCAGTGATAGGATGAAGGGGAATGGTCTTAACCTAACACAGGGGAGATTTAGATTATATATATGGAAGAAATTATTCAGTCAGAGGGTGGTGAGGCCCTGGCACAGGCTGCCCAGAGAAGCTGTGGATGCCCCATCCATGGCGGTGTTCAAGGCCAGGCTGGATGGGGCTTTGGGCCTGGTCTGGTGGGAGGTGTCCCTGCCCATGGCAGGGGGGGTTGGATGAGGTGATCTCTAAAGGTCCCTTCCAACCCAAGCCATTCTATGGTGGCCTTGCACAGGAAGGAAAGGAATCTTTCTCAAAAACAAGCTATAGTCAAAACATAGATTAGAAAAAATCACGCAAACATTTTTCTAAACAGTGGAACTGTGATGATACATGACTAGAAATATGCTTTAAAAAGAAAATGATACATAAATGCAGGAATGCCTGAATTAAATCAGTGTGCATCCAAAATACCACAGTATCTGACCTATATCCATACAGGATGAAGAACTGGTCATAATAATATACCTTTCTTTTAGAATGCTTAAAAATATGACATTGTTAACTGTTAGGAGATAATGCACTGTCTAGATAAACTTAGGTCAACTGTTAGTCAAATCAGATTATTCATCTAGGTCAGTTGAAACAGTTTTTGAAAAATAATAATAAATCCTGGAAAGTGAATACTCACAGAAATCTCATCTTGTTGACAAGGTCAACTCAACTGTAATGATGTACATGTTAAAAATGGGTAGTAAAGAATTTCAACCTCTTCACTGTGGAAAAAATCGACCTTTTGACTCATTCAGCATTTAGCAGCTCATCCTGGACTCTAATAGTAAAGAACTCGGTTGTAATTCAGAGGGAATTGTAGAATAGCCACAGAGAACCCATGAAATTATGAAGGCACTGAGAGATTGACTTGCTTAGGTTTGCTAGACAAAGACAAGTGAAGTTAAATGCCAAGAAAGGAGAAGGTCTGTATAAGTTGAAGTTATAGTAACAAATGGATATAAATTAAGTCTAAGTGCAGACTACTGAGTGGAAGGAGGTAGCTAAACAATAGTAGTGGAGTCAAAATTCCTAACTATCCATCATGGAGTTTGATCACTTTGTAAAGTGGATGGAATAATACAGTTACCTACTGGGAGGAGCAACTTGATTCTATGACCCAGCAGATATGCTCTGCACCATGCTGAACATTTGTTTTTCCATTAATGTTACAGCTTTCATGAGGAGGACAGTGTTCTTTCTGCTTTAGTAGGTCTCTTGAATATCCTTGTCCACTATATGAAACCAAACTTTGTTACTATGTTTTCTTTGTTGTGTTATCCAGAAAGCCAATACCAGGCATACTGTCTGTTGGAAGGAGCAGCCGCCCCTATTTTAAAAGATTTGACACATCTTGGTGTTCTTGCTTCTATAAGTTGGAGCTTTGACAGCATAAAATTTGATCACACAAGGTTTTTCTTAAAACAGCAGGAGAAAGTGATATGCGATCGTTTTAAAGAAGGTATGTCTTTAAAAAGTCAATGTTTTTCATCTGCAATATTAATATGGGTTTAATTGGTGACACACAGTTCAAGGTGTTTGATAAATTAATGATAAAACTTTCAGCAGATTATCCCATACGGTTACTGTAGTTGATTTCCTTGTTTATGTCCAAAATGACATCTCATAGCTTTTCATCATTGCATTTATTTACCTAAATATTATAATACAAGTATTCTAACTGAATTTCATTTTAAAATGTATTGTGTTCTTTTCCTTCCTAAGCACATAACTTGTATTTTTGAACTAAAATCTATGTTGACCCTAATAAACAGAACTAGCTAATTATTTCCCTCAATCTTTTTTACTACTGTCTTTAAGTCTGCTTTTCATTCATTAGTCCACTTACGCTGCAACACTCACATCTTTTCTTTCTTAAGATAATGAACTATACCACTTCCTGTGTGCAATTCTCAAAAATGCATTCCTTCTTTAGACTATTAACTCCCCCCTGTTCAGTCAGGTCCTTAAGATTTATTCAAAGTGTGTATAGAATATAGAATATGTATCTCATAAATTATTTGATTTACTCTGTGAGTCAAAGATGTCCTCCAAATCATAACCAAATTTAAAGATTCATATCAGAAAAGGTTAATTGGATGTGGATAAGGGAATATCAGAAACTTAGACATTAAATGGATCTTTACTGGAAGTCAGTGGGAACTTTTCTCATGATATATGTGATGACTTGCAGGGTAATAATAATTTCTCATAAAGAATGTGACTTTTACAGTTTAAGATTTGTTGAAAGGGTTCTATGAAATGTTCAATTTGAGGTTATCACTCATTTGAAATTGTTTATTGATTAATGGATAATCTGTCATTTTGATTTCTTGGAAAAGTTTCCAAAATATTTGGAAAATGAGTTAGATGGAGTTACAGTTGTACTGAAAATTTTAGTTATTTGACTAGTCACATGAGGAAATAGTAACATCAATACTTGGGCTTGTATGAAGGACCAAAAGATAGGGAATTTATTAGTTTCTGTGTGCATTTGAAGATTGCCTTAAAAAAATCAGCAGGGCAATGTGAATTTGGTGGCAGACCTGGGGGAACTGTTATAGCCTCCTCCAGCAGACACCATCTATACCTACACAACTTTCAAAAATCACAGGTTTCCTGTGTGCCACTTGCTTTGGATCAGATATCATGGGAAAGTTATGCTGTGTCATACCTATTTCAATCACCACTAGCCTTTCAAGGTTATGTCAGTTCAGTTGTTTTTAATGAAAATTATGAGAGATTGAGATCTTTTAAATTATTTTCATAAGTATAGTGTGATTTCTGAAATGTTATATAGACCACACTTATGTCTTCTATTTGTAAAGGTAAAGTAGATGAGAAAGAGATCATGCTGTTCAGACATGCTGCTCTGGTGCATCTATTGGTGACAGTTCGAGACCTTCTATTAACGTGTGGCTTGGACACAGCACTAGGTTTGTTTTAATTAGTGAACCATGATACCCAGAATCCCTGTGTTCTGCATGTATTCTGCAGTCCTTTCCTCATGTCTGTAAGCTGTGCAAGTTCACCATCAGTAAACCTCTACCGTAGCTTCAGTGCAATTTTCAGCTCCCTTTGCTTCCTTATTTCTGTTCCATCATGAGGTGTGAATTCACAAGAAATTGGACTTTGGTGGTATGTATGCACTGCTTATGTTATTACATGGATTTGCCTAAGAAACTTTTGTATGAATTTCCACATAACATGATGTGTTTACTGGTCTCCCAGAATGACAGGTTTCCTTGTAAACACTGTGTAGAAACTGAGGAACATGCAAACATGACAGATCCTTTGTTGTTTACAATCCACCTTCTGAGAAGTTGGAGTAATTTCCATTTAGAAATATTCCTAGGCTCATGGAGAATGAGGTACTTCAAAGCAGGTGCATTTAAAGCAAATCTTAAATACTATTTAACAAGCATATAACAAAGCAGGGAGTTTGAACTTACAGTCCAATTCTTAGTACTGGACTCAGGCTGTTTTTTGTGCTTTTCTGCTATTATGCTATTTTGATTTTGAATATGAAAGTTCTTAGTAACCTAATTTTATGCCTGAAGTCATAATGTTAAGCTTTTCAAGTTCCCATAGCTGTGTATTGTGAATTTTCAGAAAGATCTATCAGGGTAGATTCATAAGTGCGCTTTGAATGCCCTAAATTCAGGCTCCTTCTGTTTATCAAAGGAGATAGACAGTTCAGAGTTTCTAACTTCAGTTACTCTGAATTATCCATTAACGGTGGGTTTTCCTTAAAATTGACTTAAAATGAAAACATCACCCATAAACTGAGCTGCTGGGAAAAGAAATAATTTCATATTTGCTTAAATACTTCTTAGCCCTAAAAAAGCGGAAGAAAATACAGAATGAATACATGGGTTCTAAGAAGTTATTTTCTGTGTTGATTGTATTCAAAAGGAGGAGGAGGGAAACAGGAGGAGAAGTTTTTCCTGCTTTGTTGAGTTGTAGCAGAAGCATTCATACATTATTCATACATTTCAGAATTACACAGTACCTGTCCATCCAGAGCCCAGTAACACCTGCCACAGGAATCTGCACAAGTAAAAAAGATCTTAGAAAAGTTGAGACGTACTAAATAGGCCCTGTGGTTCTCAGTACTGTTGTGATCTTGTGCTGTGACGTCTGATTCATCACATAGGTTTCTTAGATCTATTTTTTGCTTTATGCATTTTCGAATAACCCTGGTGTTGTTCACGATTTATATGCAAAGGGCATTATTCGGGGATGAGAAGTAATTGTGATAATACACACAGAGTGATGAAAACATGGGACAAGTAAAGCTTTAGAGAGTGGGAGTTTTTTAGTATAAACCATATAGACTAATTAAATTTAAGAACACAGTTCTGGTATCTGCAGCTATAGAAAGCTGTGTTCTATAACTCTAGTTGAAATCATATAGAAGACATTATGGGATGTTTGGCAGATGTATAAAGGGCACTTATATACCTGATTAGTCATAATAATACTCTTCCATATTGGTCAGCAATTAAATTTTCAGCATTTTTGTGCAAGGTACCACCATATTTTAAACATATGTGTAGATTTAAATAAATGCAAGCCTTGGCAAATACCTTTTGTCTCTGCAATTGCATTTTTTCTTGGTTTAGGATATTTGTCTAAAGCAAAGGATATCTATAAAAACATCTTAGAATCCTGTTTGGATAATATCTGGAGGCAGCTGAAGATTGTACAGTACAGCAGCCAGAAAAAGCATGAAATCAGTCCCAAAATAACAGAACTTCAGCGTCAAATGTTAAATTGGATGCAAAGTTATGGAGAGGAATGCAGTGCTAAGGTTAGAAATGTAAACAATCTCTTTACACAAATGAAACTGATTAAAATGTATTAACTGTTACAAAACCATCTTTCAATGAGAGTTGGTTTATGGAAGGAATCTTTAATTACCTTTCCAATTCATGGTATCTGTTAAGTAAGGATAACATAAAATTTAAGACCTCTATCAGAAGCAGTGCAGGTTTGTGTTTCACCAGATCTCCCCTTGCTGCAAGAGTGAAATAACATGTATAAAACTTTTAATATTGGATGGGCTTCGTTTTAGTGCAGGTGGTTTTGTTCCTCTAGTAAATATTTGCATTACAATACTTACTGAAAATTGCATTATAACTTTTTATTTGACAGCTCCAATCTTCTTCTGGTTCAGAGAGCCATGTCACAAGTCAGAATGGGGTACTTGTATGGTGATGTTCAGAGCACAGACACCCTGCAGTGTATGGATATTGTTATCCACAGCCTCTGCTTGACCCCTGGTCTCACAAGGGCAGAGCAGAAGGGGACAATCACCTCCCTCACCCTGCTGGCCACGCTTCTTTTAATGCAGACAACTGCGTTAAAACAATGCAACACAACTGGCTTTCTGGGCTCTAAGCCTGCACTGCTGGCTTGTGCTCAGTTTTTCATCCACCAATACCACCAGGTACTTCTCCACAGGGCTGCCCTCATCCACTCATCTCCCCACCTGTTTTTGTCATTGGGATTGCCCCTCATGCAGGTGCAGTCCAGAGGCGTGTGCGAGAAGCTGTTGTAATGAAATTCAAAGTGGAAATGAAACAACCAAAACAAAATGTCATTGATTGTCTCGATGCCTGTCCTTCAGTATTCCCTCTAAGCTGATTACAGCATCATTTTCTTGTTCATAACAGTAACACATTTTGCTTTCTGGTAGTAGGATTATGCTGTACTAGGAGATGTTTCACAACTTTCTCATCTGCGTGTGAGCTCAGTGACAATTTTGACTTTCTTCTGAACTCCACTGGATGTGATTTCTAAATATAACTCTCCTGAGTGTTGACTTGCTTGCTTGACTTAAACTTGAGATTGTGCATATGTACCTGTGAAATTCAAGAGTTTGTGTGATTTTATTCACAATTATATGATTATGCATTATTCACTGACATTCAGTATCAATCAAACAGAATAGGAGGAGCTTTCATTCCAGCTTTAATGAGAAATGAAAGCTCTATTATATAACTCATTTCCTACTCTGTCACATGGCATCAGCATCAGTTAATACAATGTGAAATACAGTAGTCTGGTTATTCTTTTATTCAACAAAATTATTATTGATACAGGATTATAATGCAGAATTTTCTTTGTAAGCAAGGAGTGCCTAACAAAATAGAAGAAACAAATTTGAAGTGAGCTTCTGATCTTTTTCTTTCATTTTGTTTCTGGACTATATAGGATATCAGTAACAATGTCATCTAGCTCACTGCAAGGTATAATGTTATTGGGTGGTGTGGGGAAAAACAAAACAAAACAAAGAAAAATAGGTCATCATTTTAAAATGTAGTTTTAAAACTGCAAAACTGCTTCAAAACAAGCCAGTGTGTTGTCAGGTGACTGATCCATGCACCAACATGTGGAAACTGATGTTTCCTTTAAGCTTGTCAGGCAGACTGATATCTCTTCTGATAAGATCTATCACAGTGTCAACATTTACATGTGTAATTACCTTGTGCCTTTAGGTCTTAGAGTCAGATGTGTCTTCTTAAAAGTCTTACCTTGTGTATACCATGAAAAGTGCCAATGAAAGTTCCATCATTCAGAGATGATGCTACCTGAAACTCAAAGTCTCATATGGGTATACACATTCTTATTTAAATACTTTGATTGTGCAACACAAGTTCAGTCTGTATCATTTGAAATAGTGGACAAAGTAAAACACCTTCTCCAGTAGTGATTAAAAAAAAAAAAAAAATGACAGTTTGGTAGATTGTAATCCTTACCAGCGTTTCCATCCTCACCAGTATTTAATGAGTCTCAAACACAGAATCATAGAATCATAGAATATCCTGAGTTGGAAGGGACCCTTAAGGATCATCAAGTCCAACTCTTGACACCGCACAGGTCTACCCAAAAGTTCAGACCATGTGACTAAGTGCACAGTCCAATCTCTTCTTAAATTCAGTCAGGCTCGGTGCAGTGACCACTTCCCTGGGGAGCCTGTTCCAGTGTGCAACCACTCTCTCTGTGAAGAACCCCCTCCTGATGTCAAGCCTAAACTTCCCCTGCCTCAGCTTAACCCCGTTCCCGCGGGTCCTGTCGCTGGTGTTAATGGAGAAAAGGTCTCCTGCCTCTCGACACCCCCTTACGAGGAAGTTGTAGACTGCAATGAGGTCTCCCCTCAGCCTCCTCTTCTCCAGGCTGAACAGGCCCAGTGCCCTCAGCCGTTCCTCGTACGTCTTCCCCTCCAGGCCTTTCACCATCTTCGTAGCCCTCCTCTGGACACTCTCCAACAGTTTCATGTCCTTTTTATACTGTGGTGCCCAGAACTGCACACAGTACTCGAGGTGAGGCCGCACCAGCGCAGAGTAGAGCGGGACAATCACCTCCCTCGACCTACTAGCGATGCCGTGCTTGATGCACCCCAGGACACGGTTGGCCCTCCTGGCTGCCAGGGCACACTGCTGGATTCAACTTGCTGTCTACCACGACCCCCAGATCCCTCTCTTCTAGGCTGCTCTCCAGCGTCTCATCGCCCAGTCTGTATGTGCAGCCAGGGTTTCCCCGTCCCAGGTGCAGGACCCGGCACTTGCTCTTATTGAACTTCATGCGGTTGGTGATCGCCCAGCTCTCCAACCTATCCAGATCCCTCTGCAAGGCCTTTCCACCCTCATTCGAGTCCACAACTCCTCCAAGTTTGGTGTCATCAGCAAACTTGCTCAAAATACCTTCTATTCCTACATCCAGATCGTTTATAAAAATATTGAAAAGTACCGGCCCTAAAATGGAGCCTTGAGGGACCCCACTGGTGACTGCCCGCCAGCCTGACGCAGCCCCATTTACCATAACCCTTTGGGCCCTGCCCGTTAGCCAATTGCTCACCCATCATATGATGTTTTTATTTAGCTGTATGGTGGACATTTTGTCCAGTAGGATCCTATGGGAAACCGTGTCAAAAGCCTTGCTGAAGTCCAAAAAAATCACATCAGCTGGTTTCCCTTGGTCCACCATACGGGTGATCTTATCATAAAAGGAAATCAGGTTAGTTAGGCAGGACCTACCCTTCACAAACCCATGCTGGCTGGGACCAATGACTGCTTTGTCCCCCAGGTGCGCCTCAATACGTTCGAGAACCATCTTCTCCATGATTTTACCAGGCACTGACGTGAGACTGACAGGCCTGTAATTGCTAGGGTCTTCTTTCTGACCCTTCTTGAAAATCGGCACAACATTTGCCAGCTTCCAGTCTACCGGGACCTCTCCAGACTCCCAGGATTGTTGAAAAATAATTGAGAGAGGTTCCACGATGACGTCCGCCAGCTCCTTCAGCACCCGGGGATGAATCCCATCCGGACCCATGGACTTGTAGGGATCCAGGTGGAGTAGCAAATCCCGCACACGTTCAGAGTTGGTTGGGAGTTTGTCATCCCCACCGTCCCGGTCCTCCAGCTCAGGGCACCCTGGGTCCCGAAGCCCATCATCGGCATTGAAGACAGAGGCAAAGAAGGCGTTAAGTGTCTCTGCTTTGCCTATGTCATCGTCTGTGAGAAGACCTTCCCTATCAAGGAGCGGCCCTATGTATTCTTTAGTTCTCCTTTTTCCATTCACATATCTAAAAAAAACCTTTTTATTTTCTCTCACAGACACAGCCAGCTTCAACTCTCGGTGTGCTTTAGCCACACGAATTTTCTTCCTACAAATACGAACAGCATCCCTGTATTCTTTCCATGACACCTGGCCCTCCTTCCAGTAGCGAAACACTCTCTGTTTCCGCCTAATCTCCATTAGAATGTTCCTGGTCAGCCACGCCGGCCTCCTGCCGCGCCTGCCTGACTTGCGATATTTAGGAATTGCCTGATCTTGTGCTTCTAGGAGGCATCGCTTAAAGAATGACCAGCACTGGTGGACATCAAGGCCTTCAAGAGCAGCTTCCCAGGGGACCTTGCTGACTAGTTCCCTGAGCAGCCTGAAGTCCGCCTTTCCCATATCTAGGGATGAGGTTTTGGTGGCACTTTTCCTTCTGTCACCGTACATTTTGAACACAACCACTTCATGGTCACTATGACCGAGGCGGCCACCAATCACCACATCTCCCACCAGACCCTCTCTGTTTTCTAGCAACAGGTCTAGGAGGGCACCTTTCCTAGTTGGCTCCGTTAGCACCTGCACCAAGAAGTTATCATCTAGGTGCTTCATGAACCTCCTGGACTTGCTCATGTCAGCCATGTGGCACTCCCAGTTAACGTCTGGCAAGTTGAAGTTCCCCATAAGGACAAGGGGAGTTAATCTCGAGGCCTCTCTTAGTTCTGTAAAGAATAATTTATCGGCGCTATCGTCCTGGCCAGGCGGTCTGTAATAAACTCCCACAACGACATCCCCTTTATTCGTTCGTCCCTTGATCCTTACCCAGAGGCTCTCAACTTTGCCATCGCCGACCTGAAGTTCCACACAGTCCAGCCCCTGCTTCACATACATCGCCACCCCACCACCTCGCCTACCCTGCCTGTCCCTCCTGAAGAGCCTGTAACCATCTATCGCAACACCCCAGTCACAGGACTCATCCCACCAGGTTTCGCTTATGCCGATGATGTTGTAGTTGCAGGACTGGGCCAGGACTTCTAGCTCATCCATTTTGTTCCTCATACTGCGTGCGTTTGTGTAGAAGCATTTCAGGTGCGTCTCCTTACACTCAGCACCTTGTGGATCTAACCGAAGGACCTCACTGGCACACAGCCCCTCTGATTCTAGCGTACTTAGGTCTTCACCGGCGTGCCTGGTTTTAGCCCCTTCCCCCTTCGACTCTAGTTTAAAGCCCTATCTATCAGCCCTGCCAACTCCTGACCAAAGATCCTTACCCCTCTCCGAGAGAGGCCCATCCCATTCAGTGCCATCAGGCCCGGCGTAGCATAGACCTTCCCGTGGTCAAAGAACCCAAAGTTCTGCCGGTCACACCAGTCTCGAAGCCACGAGTTTATGCAAACAGCACACCTTTCAGCTTCGATCCCCCCTATTGGAAGGACAGAGGCAAACACAACCTGCGCGCCTGAACCTCTAAGTTGTCGCCCCAAATCCCTAAAGTCTCTTTTGATCGCCTCCGGACTTCTCTTTGCTACTTCATCGCTACCAGCCTGAAAGACCAGTAGCGGGTAGTAGTCAGTGGGCCGTACCAAGCGCTTGACTTTCTTGGCAACGTCCCTGACCCTGGCCCCAGGGAGGCAGCAGACTTCCCTACGGGTAGGGTCAGGCCGACAAATAGGGCCCTCTGTTCCCCTAAGGACAGAGTCTCCCACAACAATCACCCTCCTGTCTTTCTTAGTGGAGGCAGTCCTGATGCGTGGAGTCGACCTCCTCGCCCTAGGCATCCTCCTGGGTACACTTTCTATCTCTTCCTCAGTTGCTGGTCTCTCAGTCTCCAGGGCCTCAAACCTGTTTTGTAAGGGCACCTGGGAACGTGGGGCCAGAAGGGGAGGGCATCGCCTGCCATGTCGAGCAGGGACCTGTCTCCATTCCTCTTCAACTCCCAGATCCCCTCCCTCTGCCCGACGGTGACAGGGCAGGGGGTCCACCCCCATTTGGGTTGTCTCAGCCCGGTACCTCTCCTTGACGCCCTGCAGGGAGTTACTCCACCAGTCTATCTCCCGCTCATACTCCCTGATGGCCCTCAACCTCTCCACCTCCTCCTTGAGCTCCGCCACCATGCGGATCAGGTCATCCACTTGCTCACACCTGATGCACGCAGCGTCTCTGCCTCCCGCCGACGGCAGCAGCAGGCTCTGACACTCCCTGCATCCGGTGACCTGAACTGCTGCATTCTTTAACGGGTAGTCGGTCTGGGTGTGTACCGACCTCCTAGAGAGCGCACCGTGCCTGGTGGAGACCATTATCACCTAGCTAACGGCTGTCGTTAACAGGTGTTCCTATGGGAGGGGGTTGCTCTCCGCCCTTCCTGCGCGAACTGCCGCGCCACTCCCTTCTGACGCGCCACGCCCTGTTTGCCCGTCCTGGTCGCCGCGCTCCTGGTCGCTCGCGCTCCCTAGGGGCTGCTTTTGAACGGCCGGGGAGGGGGCGCTGCTGGCTCCGCCTTCGCCTCGTCAGCCTCCCTCACGAGGGCTGCCGGGTCCTGGCGGCTCCCTGAAGTCGGCTCGATGCCGGAAAGTTAGCCCTGCCT